TCCTGCAAGGACAGGTCCCCAAAATGAAATCAACGACTCTCAAGATTGCGCGTGCCCAAGCAGTCCCCAAAAGCGAGTTGCCCGAGAATGTAGGGAGACACTCCCGACGAGTGGACACAGCACTCCCAGGGAAACACACGCGACAGCTGTATAACCGATTGTCGTGGAAAGAGGCGAGCGTGTTGGCTCAGCTTCGCACCGGCATGGCAAGACTCAATGGATATCTTTTTCGAATCAATGCGGCCGAGACAGATCAATGTGCATGTGGACAAGCAAGAGAGACGGTGGACCACTTTCTCTTTCGATGTCGGAAGTGGACCGCGCACCGGACGGAAATGTTGCAATGTACCCACACTCACCGGAGTAATATCTCCTTCTTCCTGGGTGGAAAATCGCCCTCCGATGACCAGAAGTGGACGCCCAACTTGGATGCAGTGCGAGCCTCGGTCCGGTTTGCCATCGCTACGGGCCGACTTGAGGCCACCTAACCCTGCCGACGAACGGACAAAATACCCCCTCTTACTAACCCCAACCCCTTGTGACAGACGGTAGACGCGCTTCAACTGCCGAAGATAGGATGTTGGACACTTGAAGAAGCGCCTTCAAGCCAGTCTACTAACCAATACTAACCCACGGGGACCTGCTATGAGATTGGAAATTGAAATGGCAAATACGGAAGGAAATACTGTATGGGCTCCAAGGAGACACGGCTTATACCCAAACATGCATGTACTGGTAGATTAGTGATAGTTGCCCTTTCGGTTCAGCCGCCGGGCGTTAATGAATTGTGTGTGTGTGTGTATACGTTTGGAATTAATGTCAGCAATAGATCGATTTGACCAGACTTGCATTATATTATAGCTTTCTTAATTTTTCCTTGGTTATTTTGAGAGTTGAGGTGTGTTGGCGCTTGGCACAATTACTTTACCAGTAGACGATAGCGAAAACCAAGGTGTCTGATTACATGTTGGGCATAGAAGAGCCATATCTGTTCTGTGTCTTGTTTGATATTAAGCTCAATCCAGCCTGGTTTTCAAGCAGAGACGAACACATTTGATTTGTATATGTTAAGTACGGGTGCTCCACTTAAACTAAATTTCGGGGGGGAGGTTCCGGAAAATAATCTAGGCAACAACTTCCAGCCTTCTTTATTGCAACAATAAGGACTGATCTGCAGGTATATGAGATGGCGTAGCATTGTTCTAAGAATGGAGTAGCCTATGCTTATAGTGAAGTGTGACTTCCAACGACTGATAGACCTTCTATCCCTGAAGCAAGGGTAAGAGATAGCGGGTGGCCAAACCTTGGAAGATGGTGTTTCTGGCGGTGTTCGCCAGTCGACAAATGTTATCCATATATCTTTTAAGGGGAAGTAAACCTAGAATAAAACGATAGACACAAAGAAAGTAAATTGAACGTATGTAATGCCGGGGGCCATGTATAGCGACCCGGAGTAGCTGCTCCAATCCTACACAATATAACCACTCCTTTTCTATTGGTCCACCTCAAGTATATCCTAGTTTGTGCTGAATAATCGCATAAGTAAATCGGTAGCATCTTAGTCGCGACTTCTTTCTTCGGTCTTCGTCGATTTTAAGCCCATTTTGTAGCACCGCTACATTACCCTCCTTCAGCCACAGAAACGTCCTTTCGAGCAGAAATATAGGAACATAGAGATCAGCGCTAATAAAGGTATGATTTGGATAGAGGGTAAATTATGGTACCATTTTAGTTACCCTCGTGCTCTAAAATCCTGAGAGAAAATAGGCTGGCAATCATATATTCAATAGTATTCCAAACATTTAGAAGCTTTATTGCTTGACTTTGCCAGTTTACCCGGACTCATTGACAGCACCGTCCCGGTTCTGTCCGTTCAAAGGCAGTCAGCTATTCTTGTTCAGTGATATTCCATGTCACAAGCTTACATACCTTCAAGTTGGTGCAATTTTTACAATTAGTGCAGTTTACCATGTTGGAGCAACTTTCACAATTGGTGCAGTCTACCATGTTGGAGCAATTCTGGCACTTGGTACACCTTGTCATGTTCGAACAATGCTTGGACTCTCCGCAGTAGCTGCAGTTGCTGCAGAATAAACAGTCGACACAGTCATTGCAATTGGAGCACTGGAGTTATTTGTAAGCACAGCGGCATGGAGGCAGCTCAGTAGTATGGTGGTAGACTGATTTAGATGGAGTAGAAGCATACATCATTGCATCCTGCGAAGTGGATTTCAGCACTGCTATCCTGTTTGCGAAATATGGGCTCACCTTTGCAATTATGACAGTTGCTGTTGTTTCTGTTTCTACTATCGTCCCTACAGAAAGAGAATTAGTGGATGAATTGGGCCTATTGGGAAATGAACATGGTGAACATTAGCAAACGGGGAAAATTGTCTGAACTCACTCATCGTTCTGGGGAGCCTGTGAATCATGGGTCACGCTGTCGACTTTAAAAAATATTTGATTCTCCAGAAATGTGAGTGTCATGTTTTAATGTGCAGTGTGAAATGAAAGGAATCGTGCTGATCAGGCCGGTTATATACATTATCAACTACTCTTATGTCAGTATGACGTAATCCGTATTGAATAGTCTGGAGGCTGTCCACCATCTCAATGTACTTGTATCATCGGTATTTAGCTTCATGTATCTATATGCAAGTGAGAACCATATAGGAACAGGTAATTATCTACAGAACATATAAATTAATATACAAGGATCAAGTCCATTACTATCAAATACTCTTGTGGGGAGCGGTGTTGGCCTAGCAATTACCGAACGTTCGTCTGTGAAATTCATATCAGAGTAAGACGCACTACGGAAAGGCGATCAGGAATGTGTTTTGCCATATGTGCAAATTTCCTGGGGTGTTTGTTTGATTGTGATCCAGTTCAGCTGTACCCAATCGTATGAGTACCTGTTCGTCATTGAGAGAGCCTCTTATAAGATTAAATTAACAAATATACTTTATACATACTGAATAGATGGAAGACATTATTTCACAGCTTGGTGAGTTGACAAAATGAACTTGTTACTTGTCAAGGAACACCGAGAGAAGAAGAGAAGCAGTCGTTTTCTACGCCCGAAATATGCGAGGAAATTGAAGACCCAAAGTAAGGATTTTGCTATTACAACACATTGAAGAGCCAAGTCGCAGGCGTCGAGTTGGTCATATAGAGACGAGATCGCCAGGGTAATAGGTTTGAACCTGTAGCATTATGCGATGCAGCAGCACAGGAGTGAATAGATAGCTGTTCTAACTCCTTTTTCAAGAGATCCCCACTGTCCAGAGTCGACTTCTTTGATTTCCAGAAAAAGGCTGCGCAGGCGCTCCGCAGCCCCAACAATTTGGCTATTCTGAGACGCTGCGCCCTGCACCATGTCTAGGCATCTTTCAGCTTTTGTCAAAGCCTGATACAAAGGTAGTTTGAAGCCACAATGTCTCTAGAAATGAGTGACTGAAATCGGGCCGGTACGCGTATAAATGTTACTGTGGTTGACCCCCACCGGGACAGATTCGTTATTTGAAGTGAATTCGATCGACATTCTCAAATGAAGGCACAGGCAGTTGGACTTTGGTAACAGGGAATTATTGAAGGCTCAGTGGGAGAGATGGGTTGGGCGACGTCATGGATAGAAAATATGCCAAGGGTAGGACGGGATACCCGTAATTATGTTTTTCTACACCCACACGGCCTTGCTTCCGGGTCAAATTTCTTCCAGAAATGCACTGATATGGCTATGTGCAGCGACCGATCAGATTCCCACAATATATAAGACGATTTCTTCTAAAGGAACAGCTCCTGGGAGCTTAGGGTAATCCCAGGAGCCGGTTTGCTTCCAAGGCATATCAGATGAACTAGGGTGGTCACGCAGATCATGCCTCCATTTATACTGTATGCCTCATGAATAACCCTGGTAGAAGTCACGGGTGATCCCAGGAGCTACTTTTTACTCGGGATGCCTGAGATCTTCTCTGCTTCTGCGAAGTTGCCGAGCAAGAAGGTGTAGGAATTGAGTTGAAGAACGTATATCGCCGAGGAATCTATGCAGACTGCCACCTAGGCAGCGGGCAATGCAAAGAGCGTTTGGGGCAGCTCAGGTTCGGCTATGGCTTCCATTGAACAGGCAAGCTTCGTGTAGATTGAGCACACTGCACATACGGTCAGAGTTCACGGGCTGGTGCAATAGTATTCCTCCTCATCCAATTTTGACCAGAACACGGCCTACGATCAACCCTCTTACCACCGTTAAAAGATCCCACCAGTGGCGAAAGAACGAATAGCTTCCTGAGTGCATTCTCGGGAACGGCGAGACATCCGCACCACGCCCAATCTTTCATTCGATCAAGAGCAGAGTTCCTTCCTCTTCCGGTTATCCATCCGCACGACTAACTAGTTTCGCTTGCTGGGGTCGTGACTGGAAATCGATAATCTTCACAAAGTCAGCAACTTGGATATTTTCGTTTAAGACTATCTGACGAACTGAGAGTGGTCAAATACCACTAGGACCATTTGGGACAGGCTTATTCATCGTTCACCCAATTCCCCCTAGTATTTGTACGGTATGTCGAACTGAGGGGTGGTATTTTACCACTAAGGACAGGGTTATTCATCAAGTACCCATTCCCTCTTTGTCTCTGTATGGTAAACGGGGTACGCTCGGCATACCAGCGTTGTAACACGCTAGGAACGACTCCTGAGATCTGATAACACTTCAACAGCAAGATCCAGATAAAACAATCAATGCATCTCAATGGGACACCTCAATACTAGCACATACCAGTATCCGTCAATCCGACAGTTATGAGCCCGATTGCCCGTTGCAATATCCATTAAGATATATCAGACCTCTCTGCTCTATATCTTAGCAGCGCGTATAATCTTCCGCAGATCTCGGATACCCCTGAATCGCCCGGTTACCCCCAAACGGCACATGCGAGCGTTGCCGACGACCGATTGCGAACAGAACGATAGGATATAATAGGGAAAGCAGTATAAGGATGTCAGAAAGCCTCTACTCAGAAGAACTGAGGGCAGTGCCTCAGGACCAGCGACTACGGTCGGAAGGTCAATGGAGAGTCTGGATAGGCCATATACGATCAGCAGCTATCTCCGAAGATGTGTGGGAATACTTGAATCCAGATCTTTCCGAAGAGAGCGTACGACAGGTTCCGGAGGCCGCCCAAGAGCCTCAACCTAGCAGTATTCGCGAAGACGTGGAGGATGAGTTTGAACTCACAGAGAAGGAATTTACCCAGTGGACTCGACGCATTCAAGCCTACGATAGACGTGAGACTCAACGGGTGCGTCTGCTGAAGGTGATGGCACGCATGAACAGTCTAATCACACGTTCTCTCGCAACCGAGTATCACTATCTCACTGTCGATGAGGTTTCGCCGCATCAGAAACTTGTCAGGCTAGCTCGTGAATTCAAGCCAAAGCCAGAGACCCGGACCGAAGAGCTTCGACTTGCGTGGAGAGCCATGATCAAACAACCAGCGAATAACGTCAATACAGATCACTGGCTCACTCAGTGGACGAGTCTATATGAGGAAGCAAAGTGTGCAGATGTGCCTGATGTGGTATACAGTGTCAAGTACGCTATCCGAGACTTCCTGCGCGCTATTCAGCCTATAGATGACGTATTCTGCACCGCGTGGCAGGAGAAAATCCTCATACACGATATATCCTTCCATGACGTTATCTCCTCCTACCGATCACGTCGTAAGGCTCTTGGACAGTCGGCGAAGAAGGGATCGTCGAAGGTTGCACTTGCCACGCTAGATGGTCAGCATGAGGCGAAACTTGGTCAAAATAAGTCCAAACCACCGGAGAGAACGTACCGTACACGGTGCCCGTGTGGTAATGGCGCCCATACGTATCAGCAGTGCTACTATCTCAACAAATCGCTGAGGCCAGAAGGCTGGAACCCGAACGAAGCTGTGGAGAAGAAAATCCCTGAATTCATCAAGAGGATGAGTCTCCAGGACCAGGAAGCCATCGCAAAGCTAGCCAAGACCGAATCAGCTCAGTTTGCAGCCTCAGAAGATCAACGGTCGATCGAACAGATCATCTCTATGTTTTCGCATGATCTTGCGGTACAAGCGGCGCAAGAGAGTGATGAGTTTCCGCTAAAGAATAGCTGGATCGTTGATACCGGCGCGAATACTCACATCAGCAACGATCGCGAGAGATTCGTCTCATTCACTCCTGCTGACTACACTGTCATCACCGGAGACGCTTCTACAAGAATTCAAGGCTTTGGAACGGTGAGAGTGAACCTCACAGACCCCGAGACCGGAAAGACCTCTATCGGAGAGGTCTCGGACGTACGGTATTCGCCAGGATTCCACACGAACCTACTATCCGCGTCGAGACTGAAGAGCAAGGGATTCATCATGAACATCGAGTTACTAGCACTCGTTCACTGCGGTCAGCCTATTGCAAAGCTCGAGGAGAAATGTGGGCTATACGTACTCGAATACCGGCCAATTCCGGCTGGGTTCGCGACAGTCAAGCATTCACAAAAACCACTAATATCCTCAGCCACGGCCGAGCGTTGGCATCAACGCCTAGGTCATATGTATGATCAGCGTATCCAGAAACTTGCAGAACTCGTTGATGGAATCAAGATCACTGGTCAACATATCGATAATGCTATCGGCAATCCTGAGAGATGTGAAGTCTGTCAAATGACTAGCGCAAAGCGCCAAATCTCGAGAAGAGTTCATGGAACCAAGTACGGCAGATATGGTCGAATTCACTTTGACCTTGTGCGGATCGAGACAGCATACAACGATGATAAGTGGATGACACACTTCTACGTCGAAGGGATACGCTTACATGCCGCCTCTACACACGAGAAGAAGAGTGGTTGTCAGGATGCAGTCAAGCATTTTGTCGCGTTCGCAATAACACAATTGAAGCTGCCAATTCGAGCCTTTCGCTATGATAACGAGCGCGCTGCCGGCCGCACGGTAGAAGATTTCCTTCGTGAATGTGGCTTCATCGTGGAACACAGTGTGGTGGGCACACCAGAGATGAACAGCTTCAGTGAACGATCTGGGGGGGGTGATAATTGCGAGGGCACGAGCCTTACTGCTAGAAGCAGGCCTTCCGAAGGCTCTCTGGCCAGAAGCCGTCAAAGCAGCTATATACATCATCAACAGATCGCCCACTAAGCTTCCAAACGGTCAGTGGATTATTCCATACGCTGAGGCAACAGGAATCGACCACGCACAGCCAAAACAACGCATCAACCTCTCAAATCTGCGGCTATACGGATGTCGCGCTTACGTGCGCCGTCAGGATATTCCAAAGAGCCACAAGATGGAGCCGCGCGCGGATATCGGATATCTAGTAGGCTACACAGCCTCGAACATCTGGCGAGTGTGGTTTCCGCGCAGAGGAGCCGTGCGAGAGGTCAGGGACGTAGTATTCGATGAGAATCTACGATATGACCCCAAAGAACTAGAAAAGCCACCTATTAGCGACGTAATCGAAGCTATGCCATGGGAAATTGGTGAAGACGAGCATGAGGATATCGAGCAGCTCACACAGCTTGACAACCAGCCAGAAACAAACGAGCCAGCTAGTGAGAGTACTCAGCAGTCACCAGAGGCCATACCGGACGTTCAACGCCAGGAAAATGCCTTTGAACCACCAAAGTCACCAGGCCAACCTCAACAGACGGTCACACCGTCTCTAACACCCTCGGCAGAGCCACAGCTTCTGCCGGCGCCTCAGACGCAGCAATCATCTCAAGGAGCATTTCCCGGAGATCGAAGGCCCGCACAACATGAGACAGCACATCCAAGAGCACCAAGGGATATCGTTGGAGATGTATCGGATCAAAACATCGTCACTGGAGCACGGAACAGGAAACCAGTGGACCAGGCATTTACCGCCGTGCTAGAAGAGCCAGAAGACTATCATGAAGGTGTCTTAGCAGCGTTCGCAACAGGACTAAACGCTCCTCACCTTCATAACCTCGTGCACCGCGATGATCTGCCTTCAGAGCCTCAGAACTGGAAGGAGATGATCAACCATCAATATCACAAGGGGTTTCTTGCCGCTGCAGGCCTTGAAGTTGACACACTAGCTCGCAAAAGCACCTTCGAGGTAGTACAGCGTCCAACAGACCGCAGCATTCAGATCCTACCTCTCAAATGGGTCTTCACTTATAAATTTGATAGCAATGGGTTCCTGAGCAAGCTGAAAGCGAGGCTATGCGTACGAGGAGATCTCCAACGGATGACGGCAGAAGAAAAGTACTCAGCTACTCTCGCAGTCCGAACCGCACGTGCTGTATTCGCCCTGGTCGCTGCATTCGATCTGGACACACGCCAATACGATGCTGTCAACGCATTCCTCAACAGCCTACTAGATGAGATTGTATACGTCTCATTACCACCAGGGTTTGACAAAGATGGCAAAACCAAGTGCTGGAAGCTTCTTAGAGCTCTTTACGGCCTACGGAAATCTCCACGCCTATGGCAACGAGAAGCGTCTAAGATCTTCACATCTCTAGGCTTGCAGGTAGTACAGGAAGATATCTGCCTCTTTGCAGCGGACGGCATCATCGTATTCTTCTATGTTGACGATATCATCATCGTAAACCATGCTTCAAAGCATACGGCAGCCGAAAACCTAAGAGAACAGCTCAGCAAACACTGGGAGCTTCGAGATATGGGAGAGGCGCAGTGGTTCCTCGGGATACGCATTCTCCGTGACAGACAACAGATGGCCCTCTGGCTCTGTCAGGATTCATATATATCCTCGATGGCTCACCGTTACCATCTCACCGGATCTCGCAGATACGATACACCACTTCCTAGTTACTCACTCAAGCCATTTGACGGCCAGGCGACGCCTCAACAGATTCACGAGTACCAGGAGAAGGTTGGCTCAGCCCAATATGCAACGACAATCACTAGACCGGACTCGGCGAAAGCGACGGCTACACTCGCTCAATTCCTCACAAATCCCGGTCCCCAGCACCTTGATGCGATCAATAGAGTCATCTCGTACCTTTACAACACTCGGACATCGGCGATCGCGTACAGAGCGCGCGATCGATCACAGAAAAATAGTCAGATACCAGAGGCAGTTCAGTTCTTTAGCGACGCCTCATTCGCCGATAATCCTGATCGAAAAAGCTCTGAAGGATACACATGTATGATGTTTGGAGGACCTGTCGATTGGAAGGCCAGCAAGCAGCGTACGGTGACTACCAGTACAACCGAAGCTGAGCTCCTTGCGATTTCAGAAGCTGCCAGGACTGTGGCCATGTGGAAACGGCTATTCAAAGCAATACGCTTCGATCCTGAGCACGAGCTAAGCATCAGATGCGACAACCAACAGACTATCGGGATTCTCGAAAAAGAAACACCTCAACTGCGCACGAAGCTCCGCCATATTGACATACACCAGCACTGGCTTCGGCAAGAAGTTCAGAGCAAGCGCATCAACGTACACTGGGTGAGAACCGCCGATATGATAGCTGATGGTCTCACAAAGCTACTACCCCGCCAAAAGCATCTCGGTTTCATGCAATCGATGGGTATGGAGGATATACGGCAACATCTGGTAATGGGCGAGGTCTAACGCACACATCTGCAAGAGCAGAAAGGGCACTCGCTGAGGGGGTGTGTCGAACTGAGGGGTGGTATTTTACCACTAAGGACAGGGTTATTCATCAAGTACCCATTCCCTCTTTGTCTCTGTATGGTAAACGGGGTACGCTCGGCATACCAGCGTTGTAACACGCTAGGAACGACTCCTGAGATCTGATAACACTTCAACAGCAAGATCCAGATAAAACAATCAATGCATCTCAATGGGACACCTCAATACTAGCACATACCAGTATCCGTCAATCCGACATTAGTGCCTGATGAATTCGCCACCGTCATTGGGGCACTGCCACTTCCAGATCCGAATGGGGAAAGACGTCAGTCAATTGCCATGGACCCTTCTCAAAACACGTAATCTAGAATTCAAAACCTCCGTCTTTTCCATGAAATGTACAAATTTAGACTTTATATAAAGGTATATTTCTTCAAGGTAGAGCTGTAATTACATACTTGTCAAACAGTATTTGCTGGCCCATCTAGAGAGATTGAGCGGGGAAATCGAGATCACGGACTCCTGGTCCGCTTGAGCAACGTTACCCTTGTGTGCGTCCTTATGTCGATATTCTGCAGGCCTTGGTGGCGGCTGTGAATGAGAAAATTCCAATGCGCCTCTACTCTCATGAGACTCGTAATTCTCAGCTCCAGATCATCTCTCTGCGAAACCCCCCCCCCGCTATTTTGTGCTTTGTTGAAATGAAGAGTGGGTATCGTGTTCAGTTGTGTTTGAATTGTGACGCGGCATTTTTTACAGCGAAACCCGCTGGCTACTTTCTTTTCTTTTCTATTTTTCTATTTTTCCTTGAAAATTGATTGTGAGTGTTATTGGCTAATAGCATATGGATGCACAAAGGAGGGAATCTTAATGCTCTAGGCCACCGTCAGCATCCCCTGGGAATGTGACATACTATAATATGGTTCTTCTAGGTCATAAGCAGACGCCTTGGTCTCCGTAGTGGACTAGTGGCGAAATAGCAGAATTTTCCAATTCTTGGGGATTTGTTTGCCACATTTAAACATACACATGTTTATTAATATTCGCTTTATTCGGATTCCAATTAAGAGCTGTGCGGGTATTTCACGCTTCTTGTGACTGAGGGAGATCATCGGACCAGATATTGAGCACCATCCTTACCGATGCACACAATGACTGTGCTGCAATTTATCCAACGTGAATGGTTCGAAACGAAGGTGCCAGAAGCAATTCCCAAAGGAAAGCACATCATTCCTACATGTATGGGAGGCATATCTTTACAGCTCCAGCACGTTACCAAGTAAAAGGTGTACCTAGTTGAGATTGGTGATACTGGTGCTACTACTACTCTTGCCGTCATAATCAGTAAATCTGGAGTCTCTTTGGACTAGATTTGCAGCCAATATGACGGTAAATTGAAGCGACCAGTCCATGAAAACTCAGATTTCATCCATAAACAATAGCGTTTTGAGTATAGGTGACTGTCTGTATATTTCCCGATCCGGATGGCTTGGCTTTACAGCATCGCATGTAACATCGGGGGTAAGCAGTTTGAAGTAGAAGAGCTTGTCCACATTACATTTGGGCATATTTAGTGACTAGCTCGTTTTTTCACTTTTATGTGTACGAAACACAAGCGATTGGAGGCCAGTTTCTGAGTCTTGAGTTCTTTCAAGTATGAACTGGAAAAGATGCGCAGATAAAAGAGAGTTGGTTGACTTGGGGTACATCGAATCTGGCTCACAAGGCTTACCAGGTTTGAGCAGTGGAAATGGAGTGAAACATAGCTGTTCATATTTAGTAAACCAGCGGGGAGATTATCAGTAGTATGGAACCGAAATTATTTTGTCGCCCAACAGAAAATATGTCCAAAGGTTTTTGCAATAAGATAATTGTAGAAATGCTCCCGAAAATATGCCTTGTAGGTGTCTATCATAGTGAGCTTACAGGCCAATCCGTCTCAGACATCAGATTCACTTCACTGAAAATTATGTAACTGAAGTATTTACTATATCGTAATGAATAGTGTGGCATTTGTTTTCAAACGGCTAGTGCTCCTTTTTGCTCCACGAAAAAGGGTATACGAAAAAAAAAAGGAAACGAGATTAAATAACATCTTAAAATGTTAACGGTCCCTGAGAAGAGCCGTAGGCGGGTATTTCAGTTGGTTGGCAGGTTGTTCGCTTCTCTCCTCGTTAACGGCCTGAGACAGTGACTTGAGAATGTCAATTTTGCACAATGGACACCAAGTGTATCCCTTGCAAAGCCAGGGATCTATACAACCGAGATGAAAGATATGTCCACATGTGAGCTCACGAACACTGTCCCCATTGAGAAAATCATTGATACATATCGCACATAGATGCACATCAGATTCCCATAAGTCATCTTCAGTGGAGTCGACAACATGTTGGCATGCTTCGACAGGGACGAATTTTAGCGGCTTAGCATTATCAACGACTGCTATCCTTTCATTTTGGTCGCCCGGAAGGGATTCTGGATCCCAGCTTTGATAGCATGTCCTCTCAAATTCGAATATTGGCTCATGTTTCCGTGACAAATCCCAGCTTTCGTATTCTATAATCGGAAACAGCTTGTTGATCCTCTCTGACAGATTTTTCTCGTTACCAGCGGTGGAAACAAACCCTGATTCCACATCGTGGTTTGAAAGGCGTCGATTTGACACAGCCCAATATAAAAGACCACAGGTTATACTGTAAACGTGTCAGGAATGGAGTGTATGTGTAGCTGAGCAGTTCTGAGAACATACAAGATACCCACAAGTGCCCCCACAGGGATTAGGACAGAAACAAGTTTAAAAGTCGATGGGAGTTGATCTGATTCCATCCCTTCCATGCTTTGTGAAACACTCATTTTTGACTGTCCTGCGTTTCATGCTAATATTGATTGAACCCCACCACCCCTCTTTTATCCTCTTTTGATATTGATCTTCCAAGAGCAGCTTACGCGGCCACGGCGACTATGTGACGTCACATGTTTACTACCCAAGGTTATCTTGTCTCCGCGGATGTGTCTCGATGTTTAACTCAATGAGGTTGCCTAGCAGAGCCTTTGAGACGTGGAGGGGAAATGTTGGTACAAAATTCCCATGGAATTTGGAAAGTGTGTGTTCTAGAAATACATGGAACCAATTGCGGTACTCCGCCGTCCAGACGTTCGAAAGGGTTTTCTGAAGGACCTTATTCATTTCCGAAGATATATAAGTTCACCCTCACTCAGTTTCCTTGCCAAGACTTGTGGGGCGTACACGGTTATGTAAGCCGAGAAGTGGGAACGGCAATTCGTGTCAACAAAAGAGGGTCGAAATGTTACTAGCGCGCCCGAGGAATATTCAGCACCCCCTCTGCCTGATGATCGTAAGGCTCTCCACGACCTTACTAAGCTCATCCCCTATTTATTCTGCACTTTCCATAGTATATAGAAAACACACTCTCAAGTACTCAATTGGCTATGCCCGTACTAGTCCGTACTGTAACGACCACGTTCCGACAATTCGTTCAATCGGCGGCTGCTCCGTTCGTACCGTGACAGAGTATGGCAAAATCCAGCTGCGGGGCCTGCGGAGGGAAAGAAGCTTTATTGCCACGCCCATTCTCTGGCTACAGTCTGCAGCCGATGATGTCAAGGAGTGGAGGTTGAAAACTTGATTTTTTAAAATTTAAACTTCTTTTTTTCTCGACCAGCCAAGTTGGAGAGGGAGGCAAAGTGGTGACCAAGGTCAAAAGAGGTTCTTTTTTTCTCAGTGGCTACAGGAAGTTGTAACCTGTAATTCAGACGAATGATTGACCTCAATGTTGGCTCTGAGGGTATACGAGAGATTACACACAACCTGAGACCAAAGTTGACTGAAATCAAGCTAGTTTCTTCGTACACACCGTGGAGAAATTATTTCTGATGATTCGGCTTGGTTCCTGATCTGCACCAGCCATATATCATAACATATTGTAATGTCGGCCGGCCAGCTGCAATTGATCTCGAGCAAAGGGACAGCGCTACAAAAAGAGCCATAAGATAGATGCAAAGTGCTCATGTGTTCTATAAAAAATTGGTGTTTTGCCTGTAGTTCACTAGCGATGCATATTGCATGATAACGAAACATTTTAACATTAGCACTGCGAACCCCAAATCCTTTGCCAGAACAGCGCTAGACTATCTCAGAGGGAGAGCTGTCAAGATGTGTTTTCCTGGACCCTCTGAAAAAGATCCGCTTGGCCCATTTCCAGCTTTCCACGCCGATAAAAAATAAAACAGTCTCCACGCCAACTATTCCCCATTCCCATGATATACCAGAGTGCTTGAACACATCATGATTAATAACAGGAATATAGACAACAGGGAAAACTAAGATAAAACCTGCTAGGATAGCCCAAAACAAGAACTTATTCCGCCAGACGTCAAACATCCACTGAGTGATATACCGTTTCGAGCCTGGTTGCATGCGGAAGAATGATCGGCGCATGTCAACCATTTCCCATGCAAGAAATAGGGCGAACCAGGTAAGTGAAATAAAAGTTGTTGCGCGGGCACGAAACACAGGCTCGCACTGTGGATTGAAATCTCGGTTGCAGTTCAGGCCAAGGTCACCGTCGCCAAAGCCCCATATTACCAGCGAGAACGACGAGAGACATAGCGCGGCCATCCAAAGGCCGTAAACAAGGACATCAATGACCACCTCCCATGTGAAAATTCCTTTTTTCTGTGAAGGCCCCTGTTAGTTATGCCGAAGAGCTTGGATGTGGAGAATAAAACGCACGCTTTGAGGAGGCCGATCCATGATATCCGGAGCCGCGATTTCCATTCCAAGTCCCATATCTGGTAGGCCAGAAGTAATCATGATAACCCAGAGAATCTCCACAGGTGATAGTGGAAAGACTGACTGGTCACTTTCATCCTTAAACGCAAGTCCAATTAACAGGGTACACGCCTGGGCGACATTCTCTGAGAGTAGGTGAAGCACAAATCTTTGAATATTATCAAAAATCCGACGACCTTCTTCGATTGCATTAAGGATAGATGCGAAATTGTCATCAGTTAGCACAATATCCGAAGCACCTTTGGCCACATCTGAACCACTCTGTCCCATAGCAATCCCCACATCGGCGTTTTTCAGAGATGGAGAGTCATTCACACCATCTCCTGTCATTGCGACAAAGCGCCCACGCCGGTGAAGTGCGTTGATCATGTTGACTTTAGTCTGTGGCGCACAGCGGGCGATGACCCGAGGTAAAACAGGAAGGGCATCAATTTCTTCCTCAGAGAAGTTATCGAATTGATTACCAGTGACGATCATAGCCTGTGCAACATCCCCAGCAACCTGCTGAAGATCAGGTAGTATGCCCACCTGCTGAGCAATCTTTTCTGCAGTTCCAGGGTGATCGCCCGTTAACATGTGCACTGATATGCCCGCATGGTGACATAGCTCAACAGCTCTGGCGGACTCAGGTCTGGGCGGATCGTAAATGCCGACCAAGCCCAGGAAGCAAAGATCTTTCTCGACCTCCGCCCGGTCTTCCGTATCTGGAACAACATCTCTCTTCGCAAGGGCGAGAACACGAAGGCCCATCCGTGTTAGAGCTTCCATATTCTTCATGACCTGCTCATGATGTTCGCCGGACAGGGCACTAGGCGGGGAATTTTGTTCGAATATAAATTTGGAGCATCTCTCCAGGATGCGCTCAACAGCGCCTTTTGCGAACGCCACGGATTTTTTCTCGGCATTATTCGTGTAAACAACGGTCATCCGCTTGATATCCGAGTCAAACGGAAACTCCATTTTCTGCGTCCATTTCGGATCCTTGCCTTTGGTCAAGCAGTCGCGGTCCCAAGAAAATCTAGACGCGAAGACTTGAATGGCAATTTCAGTTGGCTCTCCCCGGGCATGCCATTCATTGCCATCAACGCCATCGCCGCCTTCGTGCTTCTTCTTATAGACATGTGCAAGATTGGCCAACGAGCAGACATTTAGGTAGTCCTCAAGCTTTTTGTGTTCAGCCAGCAGTTCCTCAGGCTTCTTGGTCTCTGCACTCGTCTTCTCCTCAACAATGCTCCTTGGAGCCAGTCCTTGGAACCCGATTTCTCCAACTGTCGGATTGAAAGGTTCACTACCGCCCTCGAGGGAATAAGTTCCCAGCGAAGCAACCCACGCCTGTTTCACAATCATTTTGCCCTGTGTCAATGTGCCTGTCTTATCAGAGCAAATGTTTGTTACCGCTCCAAGCGCCTCCAGAGAGCTTAGTTTTCGGACAATAACATGGCGCTGCACCATCCGTTTTGTCCCGACTGCCATGGTAATCGTGAGTACAACCACAAGACAGGCAGGGATCATACTTAGCCCTGTTGCGACAGCATACAGAATCACCTCATTGTTATTCCTCCAGTAGTTTGCGCTCATCACCACAATAGCAAAGACAACTGCAATACCGAATAAACCGACTGCTAGCCTAGACAATTTCTTTTGTAAAGGGGTCCCAACATTCACCCCGAGGAAGCGGCCAATTGTATCAGTGCCAGTCAACACCCATGCCTGGACATGCCATCGCTTTTTAGCCTCCCCACTGGGTCCACGCTTCACGGGTCGACGTTTTTGCCCGCTGGCACGGAGTGCCGAAGCGATCTTCCCTATTTCTGTGTCCATGCCAGTTGCAATAGCAATACCTCTTGCTCGCCCTCTCGTCACAGTACTGGAGCTATATGCAATATTCAGGCGATCACCAGGCCCTGTATCCTCTTCGAACGTTGCCTCGGAGACCTTCTGAACAGGCAGAGATTCCCCGTCAAGAGTGCCTCGTCTGTCTCGAAATTGATCACTTCAATCAGCCTGATCGTTGAACGTCAGCACATATTCTACCTTTATAGACAAGGGGTGGCAAGCGACAGCCGTACCTCAGATCAGCCGGGATCATTTCGCCTATCTTCACTTCAACAATATCCCCGGGGACGATTTCAATGGCAGGAATGACAGCCGTACTGCCATCCCTGAACACGGTCCCACTGGGCGTTGTTAAAGATCGCAGAGACGACATCGTCTTCTCTGCCGCGTACTCCTGGAAGAAGCCGACGACGATATTCAACCCAATAATGCCAGCAATAACGCCGCCCTCGATCCAAGACTGGATGCCGAAGCTGACGGCCATTGCTAAGATTAACACCTGCGAGACGCTGATTTAGAATGGTTGGGTTTTTTTTCTCATTTTTCGCATTATGAAAGGGACGATGCCAAAATTTGCAAAAAGAAATGAAAGAGAGAAAAAAAAACAAAGCAGACAGGCCAAACTCACAAGCATCATCGCATTCGCGATTTGTTGCAATAGTATTTTCCCAATCGAGAGACCTTCGCCCTCATCCAGACAGTTATGTCCGTAAGTTTCCAGACGTGAGCGAGCCTCAGCGTTTGCCAGCCCATCGTCTGCATCGGTCGAAAGTTGTTCTAAGACTGCGGTATAAGACAAGCAGTGAGGAGGCTGGCTCAGTCGTCTTTGGGACGTTTCGGTCTCTTGGCGTGAAGCATCCATTGTTAGGCTGCTTGTTGTGCAAATTCGTAAGATGAATGATTGCTTTTCCGCGACAGCTAATCGTAAAGCCCGCGTTGTAGGCCTCTAGGTGGAAAAATTTCGTGTGCCTTGCAACAAGGAAAGGAAAGTTCATGCCAAGGCTAATCATCATCAATCATCACCAGACATTCAAACTAGACTTACCAAAGTCGTTGCTTCCAAGAGCTTTTTCCCAATTAAAGTGGGTCTATCTCGTCACAAACCACTGAGTCTAAAGAACTGCAACAACAAGGTGGCTGGCTAATCTCAGGATAAAGTGAGTGAACGGATGCGGAGCCTTCTACCCTGGCCCACTTATATGTACCGCTGTCATAAGTCTTGAATAGGAGTCAATTGCTAAAATGGCTGTGCACCCAGAACAAGATGACGTCAAGTATGGCAATGTTGCAATAAAAGCCAAAATTCAAGCGGACGCATGCAAAAAACCGTATACTAGCTAGTAACAGGAAAATTCTGTTACGCCAGAGAAAATGCAAGACTGACGCAACCTGTTGCTTTATCATTGAACACCTCATGGAAAACCAAAGCCCTGAGTCCGAAGCTGGTACATCTCCCCCAAGCAGCATTAGGTGCCCCGAATAACATTTCCCTCAGGGAGAATCATTGGCTACTGCTTTATAGCAATAATTCCCGTCCTTCTCTGCATAGTCATTGTTGCTTCGAAGTTGGCAGCTGCCCGACGAGTACACTGCGAACCTTCAGGTTCAAACTTAAATAACAGGAACCCCAGTACTCCGGCCTCCTATCGAAGAAGCCGAAGAAAGACACTCGAGAGAATAGCTTTGGATGAAATACCCATGTACAGAATTAGGAGCTTTCCCGGCAGCGGAACACGCAGTGGTACTCCTGACGTGGAAAGAGGCATCGCCTACCAACAGACAAGCAGCAGTCATCCCAGAAGGACATTCAGTCCAGAGCTCGCCAATCGAAATCTCGCAGTATCGACGCTGGATAGCTCAGTAGGTGGATCCATCGATCATTCAATCATCCTTATGATATAATCACGTCTAATTTACAATAGTATGCTTTAAGCGGAAGCAGCAACTCGACCTGTGCTATCTGCTCTGAAGATTTCATGGGAGACGAGCTCCTACGGTGTCTTCCCTGCCATCATCAATACCATGCGAAATGTGTAGATGACTGGCTGGTTAATGTATCGGGATCTTGTCCTCTGTGGTAAGTTAGGCGTGGATGCTTCAAATGAACCCTCAGAGAACTCAATCGGTTCTAACTTGCTTTCCTTAGCCGTATGGATTTGTGCGGTACTCGAAGTCTTGAAGAGACTAATATGCAGCAAAACCTTCCTGTTCAACCTTCACGAGCGATTATAGCGCAGCATCCACCTTCGTGATGGAACCTCCTGAGAATACCTTAAGCACAGCCCAACGGTTTTGATGATTTGTTCAATCTACTCGGAATTTCCAGAACGTGTTTTGTAGGGTCTGACACATAGCTGTTGCCGAAAACAATGCGACGAGATTGACATGGCAGGAAGAATTTGTGAGGAGAGCAAGCTCAGCGATACCATAAACGTACGAACAATATTGGGTCATACACTCCCTCCAACCAGCGGAAGCGCTGAAGACCGATAAGGCGGAAATGCTAGACGAACTAGAGTACGACCACTACCGCCTTGGCGAGCCGAACGTGTCTCCGGCGGTTCCTAGCGACAACGAGCCTGTAAAAGGCCACTGCTATGCTATTTAGTCGCTGCGATCTTGAGTTGGAAGATCCAACCAAAGAGTAGGAGCTTCATAGGCACTGGATGACGTACAAGGACAAGATCAAGGTGAACTGGCAGAAACCAAGAGTAAAACAATAGTAATCTTGAAAGACTCAGAGTGATACTCCTTAATATGGATAGGACTAGTGGCCAAGGACAGGCCTGGCTACATTACTTGGTAGACTGCGAGTAAGAGCCCTTCATGTAAAGAACAAAGAAACATCCTCATGGATATATGTAAATGGGAAAGACACCATTGCTAAGTAGGCATGGGTAGGAAATATGGGCGAAACTGCATCTCACATGTTCATTTGACCCGGGTTTGGAGTATGTTTGCCATGTCTAATGAGATATCTATAGATTGTCATACGAATGCAACTCAGCGAATTCACCGGTTGCAACTTCTCTATAGCGGTCCGTTCTTATTCATGGGGTTAGATAATGCGAGCAGCTATGTACAAAACATTACATGAAGTTCAAAGATATGCAGGTGTTTGATTTTTGGATAGCGGTGGAAATTTCATGTTAAGCAAGGAAGCAAGCAACTAAGTCGGTGGCGGTGACTTTGTCTGTCAGCATTGTATATTTGACTATAGTCTGAGAAAGACACAAATATCTTGCCTTTGGGGTATGAAGTGAGCGCAATCGTACCACTGTTCCTTGCTCCTAGTGAGTGCATCATGGTATCATAATACTGATGAACCCAAGCAACTGTGGTGATGGCCAAGATCGTATACCACAGCAGTCAGGCGAAAAGGAGCCGCCGAAAATAAACATTCAAGCCAGCTCTACATGTGCAATAAGAGTCAAATTCATCCGCACATTTCGGTAGTGGACATAGGGTACCTTTTGACAGGGAGTCCGGATAAAACCACATTGAACTCCACAGAGGCCACGGCTGATAGAAAGTGGAGAGCACGGTTGCACAGGCGCGAGCGTTGGTATAACGGGAACGTTGTCTTGTCCAGTGGGGAAAACCAGACATACTCCAAGCCAAGGTCAGCATCCTCACTTTGCACTACCACTCAAAAGGGACCTTCCAACGTCTCAGTCAACTGCAGTCAAGCTCGACTGTTGTGGGCAGACTGCTCTTTGTACTCAGACTCGAGGGCCACGTTGCGGGATCTAACTTTCTCGCGGCATCTTTTTGTAGCTTTTCGCTGGTTTTTGGGGCGCATTTTGCGTTTTGAAATATAGCGGGTTATTGATTCTGATGACCTGGCGTCAGCAGTCCTGTTTGATTCTGGAAGTGGCTGTGTCTCTTGCCGTGGCTCTCTATTTCGGGGAATTTGCTTCGGTTGATCAATGCTGGGCGTAATGAGCTCTGTATTTTGAGCATTCTGAGCTTTGCTGACGGCCAAGTTGGTCATCTGAGGCGCGAGAGACGTGTCATCATTGGACATAACAATTTTCCAAAACTGTCCGGTGGTGCGACAGGGAGACAAAGATGTGTATCAGGAGCAGAGCCTAGAGAGGTGATCTCGCCGGACTGGAGAGTAACTGGGCCTCTTGGATTTGCAGGTCGAAGTACGGTGGGGACATGATAAATTCCATCTCATCCATAAGGTTGGGACGTGAGGAGACTGGTTGGAGGCCCAGGCTTATGTCATGGTGCGGGTGGCTTGGGTCTTGGGTCTCAGTGAGCGGAAGGGGGCAACTCATGTGACGGCGAAATTGGTAGTCCGTATTTATCCGTTGGGTTACACCTGAATCTTGGTAACCTTGGACGCCAGGCAGTTAGGTTACGGCCTGACGTAAATACCCTTACCTCATGGTTGCATAAAAGAGACAGGGACGAGTCTCCCAGCAAGGATGATTTATTTTGGGCAAACGTCACTTTACTTCGAATCTTCAACCGACTTGAACAATACCAGTATGCCTAATATACAGACAGAACCATTCAACGTTATCTGTGGTATTCTAGGAACATACCTTTTTTGTTTCAACTTTGTGTCCTATTTACTGAAGGACCGGCTCTACATTTCCGAAGCATGTACAGCATCCCTTGTTCCCACGTTGCATGGGTTACCTTTATGTCCTGTAGCCTTGTGAACTGCATCCAAACGCTTATATGAATTTTACTCTTTTAGTATTATCCCTATTGGTTGGCCTTATTGTGTCGCCATATGCTGCCGAGTTCGCAGATCCGCATTCCTATGTCTCGACTAGCCCCAGTCACCCAAACTCGACTCATCGCCTTGAACATGCTACATTGGATTTTTCCCGGCTAGCTCTATCTATACAAGTCTGTTTTACTGGGGCCCAGCTTCCTAGAAAATATTCTCGCTCTCACTGGCGCGATTTGCTCATATTATTGGGTCCGGGCATGGTTGGAATGTGGATGATGAGTGCATTGCTTGTATGGGCCATAATACGTGTGCCTGGGGGAGCGAATAATTCGGCAACTACTATGCCGTTTCTACAAGCTCTGGCAGTTGCGGCATGTATTACCCCCACAGACCCCGTGTTGAGCAATACGATTGTTAAAGGCAGGTGGGCTGACCGGCATGTTCCGGTTCCAATGACGCAACTTATCGGGGCAGAGAGCGGAGCGAATGATGGCCTTGGCTATCCGTTCCTTTATCTCGCACTATATCTGCTTAAGTATCTTGGTACACAAGGGTACCATGGAGCTCCTGGAGATGGCGGCGCAGCAGGGTCTTGGGGCGGCGCCAGATCCGCGATGGGGATGTGGTTTGGTGAGACATGGGGATACGTTGTGTTACTAAGTGTTGTATGGGGTGTTATCGTGGGATGGATGGCAAGACGTTGTCTTAGAGTGGCATTCGCCTTGGGATATACTTCTCAGGAGAGCTTGTACACGTCAACTGTCGTGATCTCGGTAGGCTTACCCCGCGATTACACTCCCCAAGTCATTTTAAATAGCTCGGTCTAATATTGATAATCAGCTCTTCCTCATTGGTACATGTGGGCTGGTGGGAAGTGATGATATCCTCGCTTGCTTTGCGGCAGGAAATGCACTTTCATGGGAGTAAGTAAACGGCGAGATGGAGATCACCATTCTTTGATGAATGGCCCAGCTAACTCATCTTTTAGTGGTTGGTTTCAGAAAGAGACCCAGCATGACTCATTTGAACCAGCGGTAGATATGCTGTTGAACATGTCCTTCTTTGTCTGGTTTGGCGTCATCTGCCCATGGCCATTATTCAACTCCTCATTGGTATCACTGTGGCGCCTTACGGTGTTAGCGATCACCGTATTACTTCTACGCAGACCCCTGATCTTGTTAATTCTATACAAACGCCTGGGCCCCGTCCACCAACCTCGACAGGCACTTTTCATGGGATTCTTTGGTCCAATTGGTGTTTCTGCAATTTTCTACCAACATAAAACGTTGGAGTTTTTGCAAAACCAAGTCAAAAGCCCCGATGGACACATCAGGGAAGACGCCCAGACATTGTCAGATTTAGTACGAGTCATTGTCTGGTTTGTTGTGTTATCCAGTGCCGTAAGGATTGGTACCTTCTTACCTCAAAGTATGCATTGATTTTATGTCAACGTGGCTTACACATCTTTTTCATTAGGCTGTTCATGGTCTGTCAATCCCTATATACCAATGCTGTCTTTATCTGCTTCGGCGTTTCATTCCAGGAGCAGCCGAACAACTAGCAAACAACACTGTTCGAGATATAATCCGACACGAGAAGCAGTACATTCAGTCTCGCCCCTGGGTTTCCAACCTGGAAGGTGACTTGGGTCGGGTACAGAGCCTTGCCCGAAGAAAACCGCCACTTCGTCGGCTCCGACTTGAGAGAGACGAAGAGGCGCAATCATGATTGACCTTGATCAGTTGTCCCGTGCTAGCCGGCTACGAAGAAGTTCCATTGAGCGAAATATGATTGTATAATACTACTGGTAACTTCCGACAAGTCTTATATTCTGGCAGGATGGTCGCTGTTTGTGTCGAGCAGAACGCTTCGACCCACCGAAGCAGGTTAGCTGGAACGCCTCGCGCTTTTTTCCCTGGAGCAGTCGTTCCTTGTACACTCCGTTGTAGGCTCCTTGGACATCGAAACTGATCAAACCCAACACCCGTCGGCCACGCCACGCCACGCTGTGTAGATCTGCTCTTGCAGAAGCACAAGCGCCTGCTCCGCGAACCTTTGCTTTCGGGCCCCGAAATGGTTGGTCGGGAGCAAGCCGTGTGTCGCCACAGCGTGCGAGATCCTTTCTGCAACTACGGATTACAGTATCTTGCCCAGCGTCGCGAGGAGCGAAATTGGCCTCCCTGCCGTCGCAATGGTGTAGTTTTCCTTGTTCGGCCTTTTGAGCGGTATGATCTTCGCATGTCTCCACCGTCTCGGTAACATGCCTTCTTCCAGTGACGACTGGAACAAGTCGAGAACCCTGTGCTTGACCGTGGGCCACGTCATTTTCCAGACTATCGCCGGTAGACCGTTTTCACCCGGCGCCTTCCATGATTTCGCTGCAAAAAGCTATCGTTCTATCTCCTCCAGGCCGATAAGGCATTCCTACCGGCTTTATTCGTGGTCTGGTCCCCTCGTCGTCAATCACGTCTGGCAAAGGGGGGAAAGAATGTGGACAGCAGCTCTTCTGCTTGCTCTCGATGATCCGTGATATTTAGCGGCTTTGCAGATGCTTTACTTATCTGCGAGCAAATCATTCAGTGCTTCTTCGTTTGTTTGCGGATGGCATCGTGGTATTGTTTCGGCGCACATTGCGCTGTTTTTTTCCAGGTGCGGTACTTTTCGTCCCGCCCGGCGCTCCGAGCGAACATGTTGTCGCCAGTATGTGTCAATATGGCGCAGCTGTGTTAAGTCGGCCGTTCAACATCGATTTGCGTGTGGTGACGATTTTGCCTTTGGAGTCAAAGCATGCACCGCCTTGCTGACCGCAGTCATGAGTCGCTCAGTCTTCTGCTGCATGTGCCTCCCGGCGTTGCGGCGGTCAGAGCACTTGTGATTCTGGTATTGGTCTCTTTCCATGGTGCGTTCTTCAGCAGAGGTCCTCCTGATGCTTCGGAGCCGACCACGGTGCATTGAACACAGTCTCAATGGCACGGTGGTCCGAGCCCTGCTCTGTCCCATGTATCGCACACTTGATCATTGAGTCTGTCAAATCATCAGAGGTCAGGACGAGGTCGATGGTCGACTCGCAGTCTCCGCTCTGTCCTGTTGTGATGTGAGGCTGGTGCAGATCAGGAACCAAGCCGCACCGTCGGAATTAGCTCCAGAGTGTCTATACAGACGACCAAGTTGATTGGAAATCAACTTGGTCCAATCAACTTGGCTCATTGTTTTATATATAGGCTCATGTATCCCTCTGAGATAAAAAGTCAATTCATACCTCTGAACTACGACATGTCCACATCCGTGGCATGTCTTTGTACCTCGTTTGAGTAAGCTGCTAAGAGCAAAACCGTTCATGAGGTCAATGATTGGATCCGTTTCGCCCTGTCTTTCCAGTGACACCTCGTCTCCTTCCCAGAGTTCATCATGTCGGTTAAAGTCTCCTACAATCATGACCTCCGCCACAAGCATATATGTCAACAAAAGTGGGTCGCAATTTTACTAGTGCGCCCGAGGAATATTCAGCACCCCCTCTGCCTGATGATCGTAAGGCTCTCCACGACCTTACTAAGCTCATCTCCTATTTATTCTGCACTTTCTATAGTATATAACAATCACACTCCCAAGTACTCAATTGGCTATGCCCGTACTAGTCCGTACTGTGACGACCACGTTCCGACAAAATACCCTCAGGGTCTGCGTTTAATACGCCGATACTCGGTGGTTAAAGCACCAGAGCCGAAAATCAACGCCAAATTACATACAAACATAAAGCAAGTCGATATCCTATGTGACCAATCAGCAGTTAGCAGTAATTTACTGCTTCATGCTCTGACAATTGTCATACAACGAGATTTCTGGCATATCAGTTCAATTTTTATTTTTATCTTACTGCGGATCAGCAAAAAATAAGCCGCCACGTTCATTGCTCTGTATTGGGTGGCATGCTCCGCAACATAGTGAGGGAGAGATTTCTGATTTCTGCCCAGGTAGAACACCAATTGAGGGCCGCACGCCACGACTCACGACTTTTAGACAAAATGACATCTACTTACCCTTTGTTCCTTAACGAAGTTCTTCCTAGAGGCGAGACATGGAAGCTCCGCCCTAAAGATGGTTTCCCTCTTGACGCTGGCTTAACCCATAGTACAAATTTCCATAGAACTGAGTGTTGGTAGCGTGATAATGAGGGCGTGGTTGATAGTATTGGGAAGTAGCTTGTGCATATTGACCATTGACACCATTGACCGAGCTCTCAAAGTAACCGGCGGCAGCAGCATACCCCTTGGATATTTGAGAAGATATTATTTTTGGGCGCTTTAGGTCCAATTGGGGGGATCGGATCTCCGAGTCGTCTGCGTGGGTCTTCACATGCTTCTTCAGATCCTGAGGGCGCTTGAAGGCCTTGCCGCATAAATAACACTTGTGAGGCTTGAGCGGTATATGCACCCGGATGTGTGAGGTGATGTGATCCCGCTTTATCGTTGTGGTATTGCAGGTACCCCATTCGCAGGTAAGGTTAAGGGTGTTAGTGCTCTTACGGCCAATGTGGCTTTCACAGAGATGCTTCTGTGTGGACAGATTAGTAGCTTTCACTGATGATTCCATTTGAAAATCACGATGATCTTACATAGAGAGCCTCGGCGGTAGGAGAATTTTCAGTACATCCAAACCACTGACAAAACAGCTGCTGGCCAGCACCGTTCATAGAGGGGCTGTTGACCGTAATGGTTGCGGCGGCTGAGGTAGCCGTTGCCTGGATTGGTGACTTAGCGGCAGGTGCAGGCAATCTCGCAGGCTGCGAAGTAGAGGGGGTAATATTGTTTTCCTTCATGATGCCAAGATAGTGTCGGCGGGTTGGCCAGGCACAGCTTTGAGGCAACAAGAAAGATAGGTACGAGAAGCAAAAAGGAATAGCTAGGATACGGGCGTACCACATGGTCTATATTTAAACAAAAATCTGGCGGAGTAAAAAGCAGAAAAAGGAACGGAGCCTTTGCCCAGAAAAAGGCGCGTTGCTAAGCTGGGCGGTGCATGTATGGACAGGAATGGGACAAGCACAAGACCACCAAGACTGGATCAAGAGTCGGTGTAGGCTCCAAAACCCAGGAGGCATTGGCCTGTGGCTTATGCCACGCAGACCACAAGGTCAGAGGGGCCACGATGTTTGTCATACCAGGCCTAACACGTAGGCACTGTAGGGCATGGTTTAGTACGTGAATCGAATTGGTCTATAATACTTGTAGGCAAACGTCAATGTGAGGTATACAATACTACCAGACGTGTAGAAACTAACCCAGTATAGTGCGCTTCGAATGCATGATTCCTTCTTCCGAACAGGCAAATACGGTACGGTAAATCCGAGATTTCACAAAATGACCTTTTGTCGGAATATATCCTTTTGTTAGCCGGGTGACAACACCGGGGCTGCAGCTCCGTGCAAGAATGCGTATACCAAGCAAGGGGTGTTGGCACTACCCAGTATCGGAGCATGGAATCAAGGGATATATTGGAACCTGACCTGACTTGACACGCATCTATCTTACATCAATCGATTGACTTTTGCTTTGAAAGGATAAATAATCACTTTCCACTTAACTGTGTACACGGTACCTAGCTGGTGATATCAACACATTCAAAATCTCAGATTCTAGAGATCTCACCGAGTAGGAAACGCGCCACGTAGTCTCGGGCACCATGAGACCAGACGCTCCTGTATTAAAGACACCGAGAGCGCGAGCAACTGCACATCTTCGTCGGCTTTGTTTGGGTGCTCCCTGGCTGTTGAATTCAGGCGGCGATGGATAGATAGGCTAGGATCAGAAAGAAAAACACCGGGAGAATTGCGACATTAGTTCTTGATAAAACATCTCATGTGCCGTTAGAACACGAAGCAACGAAAGACCCGACAGTATTTTTTTTGCTGGGAAACGGCTGGATGGCATTGTTCCGTCGGCATGAGATCAGTAAAACTTGATTCCAACTCATTACAACATAACGCAAACTTGGTAAAGGAATGACATAAGGGTGGAAGTTTGCGTATAGTTTAACGACTCATCGATCGTCACCATAGGTTAAATATCAATCCACTTGCCAGGGCCAGGGCCAGGAATGATCATCACTATCCTTCCAAGATTCTGCGTCGGTGGAAGATTAGGACTAATGCTCTAGTGAGTTGGCATACTCTGTTCATTTCGAATGCTTCCCCTTCTTTTGTACCAAGACTTCAAGGAGCTGATCTGCTCATGGAAGAAGCCGCCGGTGTCATTTTGCCGGACCATGTGCCTGTGGTTCCGCTTGAGAGTCAAGGAACTGGCTGGTTTTCGAAGCCGGCGTAGGTGGTAAAATGTCTCGCGGCAAATAGGACACCTAGTGTCCCTGTTACGGATCCAGTCGTCAATGCAAGGTTGGTGAAAGAGATGCCCGCACGGTAATTGTCGAAATTGTGAACTTGGACCCAGATCCTGTAAGCATATGACGCACGTATCGGGAACTTGGCCCGCAGTCAGTGAATTGAGTTCAACTAGAAGGACAGCTCTCTTGTGATGAAAACACACAGGATGTTAGGTGTTGGGAACCATTAAAACGCGGCATTGACGATAAATCCACCTCGTATCTCTCGGAGTAGCTGGAGCACATTTTTTGATACCGAAGGAAAACTGGCACGCATACGTTTGAATGATTTGGATAAATTCAGCAACGATTAAAGGCTTGGCCGCTTGGATGCACCTTCTATTTAAGTTGGTAACTATGTGAAGTCATATTAGATAATCTAGATACAAAACAGGCCTTTTTCACCATAACAGGAAACGTGTCCACGCTAAATCCGCTCCAAAGCACAGAGAAAAGACTAAATTGCGCTCTATCCTAGAGCTTTCCACGTGAACGCGTGGCTGCCCACTTGCTAAAAATACAATATAGACTAGCACCTGAAACACAAATTGTATTTTTCACCACGGTAGAAATGCTCGGATATTTTTATCGGAATCACTGCGAGATCCCAATGTATGCGTGAGGGAAAACCATAAGATGAACAAAATATTCTAGGCTATCTCAACTTGACAATGTATGAATTGCAACTAGTTTACCCAAGCTGTTAGTTCCTGTCTGCCGTTGAAACAAGAATTGACGTAAGATAATAGTATGCTGTGAGATATGTTGCGGCCATTCCCAGTCTTGCATACCTTGGGTACTCAGCGATGTACACTCCCGGCTCTTTGTCGGACGGCGCCAGATCGACGCTCAGTGTACTGTCGTTCAAGACCGTAGCTTTCGGTCACAGCTTGTCCGGGGAAATGTGGCCGCCCGCCTAAACTCGCTAAGACAGCATCATTGTTTGCAGTCAGATCATCCAACACATCCAATTCACTCTGAGAAAACCACCTTGGAACAATCCAGACACGGAAAGGAATCAGAGCGATGATCAAGACCGGGAACCCTGGGTTTCGTTGCCGTTAGCTATGACAGCAATCTACCAAGGAAAGAAATGAAGGCCATACCTATAGCGGCGATAGTTTGTGATATGGCGACGCATGCAGCGACTCCAACGAGCTGACATGCTATGTAAAGCACAATTTTTCGCTTTGGCACCGTCAGAAGAGGCTCGCCACGCTGCACGAAGCGGTTTTCCTGCATGAGGAAGATGGATTTCTGGAAGATCCCGTTGGATTCCACAGAGCCCCAGCCCACTGTGAAAAACACGCCAGCGAAAACGGCGGTCGGCATAGTATGTAAAACGATGAGGAGGGGACCTGTCATAGTGCCAATAATAGCTAGACCCATGACGAAGTGAGAGACCCGCTGTTCCACGACCGCGGCAGCCTCTACGACCGGACGACGAATCTCAGCCCCTTCCCCTTCGTCAGTGGGGATGATTCGGAGATGGGTCTTGTACACGGTCAGAGAGTCCGTGTGCACGGGCGCCTACCCCAAATCAGTATACCTGAAGAAATTCTCAAATGCTCAAATATCACGGCTCTTACCTGGGGGACTAAACCATTAGGCAAGGGCACGCCCACAATGCCTGCGATGAATGTTGTGCAGCCCAAGAGGAAAAAATCCCAATGGAAGCCAGCAGGCTTCTTGAGTGGAAATTGCCGGGCTTGCGCAGTCAGACTGCTAATATTCTTCGAGGCGACGGATTAGACTCCAGGAACGGAATTTTGCTACTGCGCCAAGCACGGCAGTTACTCACATGGTCATAGTAAAAGAGCAACATGGTCAGAAATCCGAAAGGTAAAGCCGCAAATATCCACTTAGTATCCAGTTCCCAAAACGGAATGAGCCAACTGCGGTTTTGGGTCGGATAGAAAGCGCGAGTAATGGGAACGAAGCTGATGTGGGTGGATTTGAGAGTTCCTGGAATGTGCGAGAAGCCAACCCAGAATATAGTACAGAACTGAAGAGATAAGCAAATGGCCAACCGGCGAGAGATCCTTCGGCGGGTTTGAACTCACTACATAGGCGTAATCGGCGAAGATACCACGATAGCCAGCTTTCCAGACCGTGCTGGACCCCAGTTTTTCCAAACCATAGATGGAGAGAAAGTATAAGATGGCGATCATGCAGCTCATGAAGCCAGCACTATGGCCAACCGTGGTAAATTCGTTGACCAGTTCCTCGACGCCTTTGACTGTCATCCGATTAACATCCTGTTGTCTCCCCGAATACACCCTGATGCACATTGACTATGGGCTCCGGTCCGATCTCCACTTACTTATGTATATGATGCCGACGTACATACCAAACGATTCGCTGGAGAAATCGGTGACGTAGCGCATGTAGTCGCAAATGTTGCAGAGCGCGACAATCCAGTGGAAAATCGCGGCCCATATAGCCGTCCAGCACATAAAGTTTGGAAAGATGGATGGCTCATAGATCGTCACGATGTCATAGATGGTGTAGTTGAAGAGTGAAATTAGACCAGTTATTCCCACAATGGTGAGAGGCTGAGCTCCCAGTATGCTAAAGACCATAGCTGCGAGGGCGGAAGAGAACAAGCCTTCATTGATGCCGTAGAATTCGCCCGTGCGCCGGTACATATCAAGGGTGTATGCAATAGCTGGAAGAATGCTGAACCAAGAGTCAATGTCCCGTTTATAAATAAATGACTCGACGAGGCGATACACACTTCACGAAATACATACGCACTGCACTTGCCACGGTGCGATAAGTCAGAGCATCGCTGATATCGCTCCAATAAAGCGGAAGCCTTCTTCGTACATCATGGTACATACCCCGTCCTATTCGCAGAAAACGCACGCCCTTCCATCCAGAAACATTTTCATACGAATAGGATGCAGCGGTCTTTTCCCTCGATAAAGGGGGCTCCTGGTCTGCAGAAGATGACATCATCGGTATTGACAGGTGTCGAATGGCCAGAAAATATTTGGGCGAAGGCAGAAATGGAAAGGAGAACGAAACGAAGTCTTCAGGACTGCGCCGGACGGTGAAGGGTGGCTTTTTATACGTAAGGTGGGTCTCGGTGCCGCCGCGCAGGCAATTGTTTCTCTTGGCAACTATGTCTACGGAAGCATCGATGGGTCAGGTGATGGCTTTGTGCGAGTTCAAATCATACGCTCCCAGAGCGACCGAGATTGATTCATCATTATAAGGTATTAATCGGCCGTAGTAGCTAATGAGCCCGCCCGTGCATTAAATCACTCGAGATATCCTGCTGTACGCTTTGCTCTTCAGGGTGACTATGCTTGTAAATCTGCCCGGGCAGAAATCAGATCCAGTGGGCACCCGGGAATATTCTGTCGAGCAACTCCGCCTTGGTTGTCCACGGGATCCATTCATTCCCCACCCAAGTACTCATTGATTCTTATCCCTGTGTCGCCTCTTCTAATCGGTACTTCCTTGTCGCTGTCACTATTATACACGAGGCCGGCAAAGGCAAGATCATCTTGACACCACTGCCAAATTTCGAGCAGCAGTAGACGAGTAACATTGGAGAGATTTGGAACAGCATTGCAAACTCTTAGAATCACAGCTTGAAGAAAAAATAAAAAATAAAAAATAAGCATTTACGCTTTTTTCAAGTGGGGTGTAGTCATTTCTACGACCGTAGAAATTTTCTGCGCTGAAAGAATACATGCACCCGCTTATACACGAGAGGGAAATGGCCGTTTGTAGGTCCTATTACTTACATTGGGTGCGCTCGGCTGTACTGTATCTCAACTTGTGGGCTTTGGCTGTGCGGACGCGGAAGGAAGGCATCAACCGGTCAGCAAGTGAGTACTGGGAAAAGGTCGCGCAAGCCAAAAATGTCAGCCCATGTCTCCTAGAATAATAAAGGACGAATATCAAAACATCGGGATTGCATGGTGTCGGAACGTGGTCGTTACAGTACGGACTAGTACGGGCATAGCCAATTGAGTACTTGAGAGTGTGTTTTCTATAAACTATAGAAAGTGCAGAATAAATAGGGGATGAGCTTAGTAAGGTCGTTGAGAGCCATACGATCATCAGGCAGAGGGGGTGCTGAATATTCCTCGGGCGCACTAGTAAACTGGCGACCCTCTTTTGTTGACACATGGTATTGTGTGCTGAGTCAAACCTTGGTGGCAGTGTAATTACCCGGCCTAAATTACCGATGCAAAACTGGTCAATTGCAGGCCAGTTTCTGTTCCGTCGCCGACATTTCTCTCCACATCGCTTCCACGATGATGGCAAATATTTCTAACGATCGTCTTCACCACTATGCCAGCAACCACTGTGCCAGCCTTTCGTCCAATGCAAAGCTCCTCTCTGAGGCAGTTGATCCAGTCGCTCATGCATGTGAGACTGTGGAAGACTCGCAAAACATGACAAGCCCCGTGTGTGACATTAAGGATGCCCGTCTACAATCATGCGCAAATTCAAATTTGTTGCAATGCGTAATCCTAGAATTTTTCGGTAATACAAGGATCTATCCTTACCTGCAAGAAAATTTGCTCACCGAGACATCAGCTTGCATGTTGCACACTTTTATGTCGACATGGGTGACGGTTTCGCCCTATCAACGAGACAGAAGTGCACCTCATATCCCCTACGACTCACTACTTGCCTGCCTATCTGGTACAGTGGTGGGTGCTACACTGCTGCCGTTGCTCATAAGCATCCTTGCGCGCTCGACTGGTGGTTGCGTCAATCCAATCATTACCCTAGCCGCATGTGTGTTCGGTGTCATATCGTTCCCTCGCATGATTCTTTATATCGTGAGTCAGATGCTGGGAGCTGTGACCGCAGGGTTGGCTGTACGACGCGCGTATGGCAGTGGGGATTTTGTAGTGCGAGGGTGCTATCTTGATACGAACAAGATTGCTCCATTGAAAGCCTACACAATCGAACTAACTTCTTGCATCATCCTGATGTATGCTATACTCAAAATCGCCATTGATCGACGCCGGAACATGATATTCAACGATGCCTTATCGCCATGGTTAGTGGGTTGTGTGATTGAGTGCGTAGCTCTCATTCAGACGTTCACTACAAAAGGGTATATGGGAACAAGTGAGACTTATACAGCGTCCATTAGGTGGGAAAATTGATTACTAACCTACGGTCCGACTTTTGGCAGGCATGAACCCCGCAAAATGTTTGGGTGTCTCTGTGGCATCACGCTCCCCCGTGCAACGTTGGGTTTATTTGGTGAGACAATCTACTAGCATCTTGCGGAAAGTTGCAACTAACACTCACTTAAGATCGCATCTTCCACGGCTGCTGTTGCTCGTGTTTTATTTTCAGGCTTGCTCGAATATGTTAATACACATTCATCAGCGAGATGAAGTGTGGTCCCCTTTATGAAATCTTCCAAGGAAAGCGAGCTTCATGGAGGTTCAGTGCTGATCATGTGATTCAAGCTTGATAAATCAGGCAATGAGATATTGCTGGAGCCAATCATTGTCAGTATAGGGGTAAATTACAAACCAGAGTTGTTCACACCCATGATTGGCCAGGACATACTGTAGTTCACAGATCTCATTATCTCATGAATTTCAACATTATTCACGTCACTACGGCTCAGCCTGACAGTAGGATCTGGATCAGCACCACTATCAAAATGCACTGTTAGTACGGTTGTGTTAGTACGGTTGCTGATTCTACATTCAAGTCTGCTATTCATTGCTCGTAGAGCATTGTGTCGAACTGAGGGGTAGTTTTTTACCACTAAGCACAGGGTTAACTATCAAGTACCCATTCACATGTCTGACCCTTCAGACGGCGACGCAAGGATGCTTCCGGCACTTCAAATCGACGCGCCGCTTCACAAATAGCGCTGGTTTCTTCGTTCTTTATAGCCTGAATAGCTAATAAGATCCTACCCTCTTGCTCAGCTGGATTTCTTGAGGTTTGGGAGCGAATTGGTGGTATGGTGAGTGGTTGGATTAATTAAGATCTAGTTCATGGACGCGTTTTGGGTAGGGTGCGCCACTCGCTTGGGAATTACGTTATCAGCATTGAACCATCATGAACCTCGCTTATGAGTGAGCAAACACCATGTCTGCAAATACTAGGTGAATTACATAGTATAGGTAGACAGACTTAAACAATCTCTTTCTCATGGCGTATGCTTCACATAGGTAAATATCATATTATCAACACATGCCTCTGAACAACAACAGTAGAGGCCTCTTTTTTGCCCGCACATGATACTTCTTAGAGTGACTAGGGCGTTTCCGAGTTACTAAGTATGTTTTCGTTTATGTGGTTCAACAAGATAATGAAAGCTTGGTACGTGAGGTTGAGACCACTTGAGCTTTGCCGCTGAAATCATGACGTCATCCCATGGAATCGACACGTAATCTGCTCGGGCAGAAAATATTTCTTTTCAGCTCCTAGATCGTTTCTCAACAACTCGCCGCATTTCTCTCTTCGCAACACGACGAAAAGTTGTCATGGAGACTACACGATCACCGTCAGCCCGTCACACAATAATCTCGACACTATGTGAGGTGCTGAACAATGATTTCTCCAGCCAACTCCAAAGCCTGATAGCCAGGTCGGGCGCAGCCGACAGTGCTTCTATCCTCCGTATTGAAGCGACCCTCTGTCCTGCAGTTGCTAATTTGGCTAAAAAAGCGACTGGCCAGCAGACTGTTCGGTTGGTATGAGTGATTGGGTTTCAAACACATAGCAACAACGTGAAATGGTGAAGCATCTGCTGAATCATTACTCTAGGGTTCTATCGACCTGCGAAACGGTCACTTGGTGGTCGAAACTGACCCTACTCCGCCAGACTCACCGGTATATAATTTTGGAATAGCGAACGGTTCATCATACTAACCATCCCTTTCGTGACAGCAGCCTTTGCAGAGCGCCGCCGCGACAACGGCGCCTATTGAATGCAACGGCGAACCTCGCCGCACACGCCATCGCATGTCCAATGTCAATTTGTCTACCACAGCAGAGTCGGCTACAGATGCTTATGACTCACGTGAATTGCAGAAGAGACGAAAGGTAGTGGGGGGCATTCGCCCGTGCATATCAACTTCCAAGACGGTCTGTCCCGACGTGACCGAGCTTGAGACCGAGACGCCAGCCGAACATACAGACCAACAGATGCAGGAAAATGAACCTCGTCAATTTCGTGGCGATGCGCGCTTTCCACAGCGAAAACCTCGCAAGGAATGTTCCGTGCCAGTGATGCAGCCAACTTCGACCGGCAAATTTGTTAATGGGCTTTGGAAGCAACTTTACTCGGAAATTCAGTGGGACAACACAGCCTTGGTACCTAATACCGATTCTCCGAACTATCTCGCTATGGTATTTTTAACCAGTGTATCAGGATGTAGATCGGAATATGCCTATCCACGGAGGTATGAGTCGGGAGGTAAGTCTAAAGCCCTTGTAGCGCGGTTGAAAGTCTCGCTAATATTGCGAAAACACCAGGCCTTTCGCACCGTCAATGTAGTATGTTTGAAGTACCGATGTCAGACCCAAACATCACGCGCATTGGAAATGGTGCTACAGACCTATTGGATAGATTGCTACGAAGCTCGGATTGTTTCGATCCGAATTGAACACCCAGACCTATCCTCTACTGAGGCGCGAATGATGGCCTTAAAAGAAGCCTGCGCTGTGCTCCGTCTTACTGAGAAGGAGTTACGGAATCGACTGTGAGCAACACTTGTCGTTTGAGCAATATGAAGAAGAAGCACCAGTCTTCATGTGATGGCCCACTGTACAAGTTCACTAACCGGACCGGATACAGGGCGATCTGGCGAGGTTACAAGGAAATTAAAGATGCTGGAGGGTGGGCGAGCATCATCTTCGCGAGTACAGGTATCTATCGATTTTGCAAATACCGGGTGGGGTTTGACGAGAACTTGATCTCGCAACTTCGCCAACTCCGTCAAAGTCTTGAGGTTGCCGCCGATACGCTTCATCCAGGCTGGCGGAAGCTGCTCGAGGTCATCGGCCAGAATTCCCCTACTCAGTACTCCGGTCATCCTCACGAATGGGTCACAACAAGCGGTCAACCGGCTCGTGAGCTAGCCTCAACATACGATCATCAGCCCGGAGGCCTGAATTACAACTTCATCGACGAATGTGTGGTTGACCAGACTGTATTTGGTACGGACGATCCCCGGCGGATGCCACAGATTGACCCGGATATCTGTCCGAGCTGCCAACAGCGGCAGTCGAATGTTGTGGATTTGAACCGCTGTAATTGCTTCCCGACTTTATTTGGATGCCCAAAGCTTCCTGTGCCTGTTCAGATTGGTCACGTCAGCAAAGGGAAAAATAATGGAGTTGTTGCTCGTTGTGTACGTCACTGCCAAGCTCACGATAGATGATAGGTGCCCACTGACACTTTCCCAGGCTTTTGAGCGAGGCGTGGCAGTTGGAGAATTTGTCGGTTTTGTGACGAGCGGAGTGAAAGGACGTGATGTGATGATGGGTGGTACAAAAAATCGAGGACATCAAATTTTCCAAGGGGACATGGGTCAGTCTCGCTTGCTAGGGTGCGGTATATAGCTAACATTACTCCTACGGCAGGTAACTTCACTCGGTTTATCAATCATTCTTGCCATCCGAATAGCCAGTTCCAGAAGTTCTTCTGGCAGGGCATTGAGCGCATTATTGTGGTTTCACGAGGCATCTCGCCAGGCAGTGAAATAACCGTGGACTACTCTGATCACTACTGGAAATCGTTGGACAAGCATTGCCTTTGTAAAGAAGCCTGCTGTCGTTTCCCACCAGCTTCTGATAGCGGCACCGGCAATTAAACAAATTATACCAAATACCAAGAATACAAAGGCTATTTGTGGAAAGCTTTGTTGTGGGTCAATCCAGCCCTGGACGGAGCTAAGCATATAATTGTATACTTGAGCTCTGCCGCGCTGAGGATATAATCCAAGCTGGAACTGGTAGGGAGGTCCAGTAGAATCGGATAACGATAGCACAGCGTCGTGAGTGTTGAGGCATTTGCTTAGACAAATTATTGGTAGCATCTAAGCTTTTACCGAACCATTTGAATCCGGCTTTACACGAGCTCACGACAATAAAAGGTCCGACTACAACCGCTTCAATTCGCCGAAGATAGCACCTACCATTAGTGTAAACGATGTGAAGTTCGACACTTACTTATAGCAGACTGTAGCTATATCATTCATTGTCCGTTTCAAGAGATATTGTACGCACTGGTTCTATAATAAACCAATGGTCGACTTTATATCATAGAATGAGTGTAATTTCAAGAACTTGCAGATGTTGCTATATTTAACACAATGAAGCGATGGATGGCTTAGCGACGTAGTGATCTAAAACGCAGGAAATGAGTAAGCATATGGATGCTGTAATAGGTGACCGCATTGTCTGTCGCGACAACCCGGTACGTGCGGTGTCCATTTACATCGCGTTTCCAATTGCGATGCTAGTAAGCCACTCTCTCTCAATTGATTATATCCCCGTGGGAGACATAGATCAACATGGCCAAATGTGACAAAAAGTAGTCAGATAATATAAAGACTTGCACCACCGTCCATTGAGCAACTCGTATAAGGGGCCACATCAATCGGACGCTAGGGCCCTGGGACACACGTCAATCATGGAACTGATGTCATACAGGTAAGTCAACTGCATCTACTCGACTTCAGCTATCATATTACGTTGAGTTTCAGACCAAGATATCACTGGTGGCTTTGCAAATTTGAGATTGTCAACACTGAGTGCAACTAGATTTACTTTCAACCTCTCAGCAATTTTATGGAAAATATTCGGGCGGCGCAATAATTACATTGCTATCTTCGTTTGGAGATGTCGATATGTTCCTGGTGGAAAAGGAGGGGAGGCGGATCGTTTCATATTGTACCTGAAGAGGTAATTGAAGCGATAAAGTCGCGTGGCCGGACTCAACAATTTTTAGGTGCAAAAACACGGAGTATCGACGAGAGACCAAAGATGAAACCGTGGTTGGAGGAAGATAGTCCGGGGCTCTGTACGAAAATCTGAGGTTTGCCGACGAGTGCCACACTCGGTCAGTCTGTTCTATCGTGCTGTTAGACTTCCTGCACCCCCACCCCAAAAGAAGACGAAAATACTGTACCTGAATGGGACAACGGCTGCATCCATGCGCTAAAGACTTCCTTTTGGGTGTGGCAGGTACCAATGTCCACGACCTCTGTGGTGACTGGAGAGCTTGAAGCATCACGGCGAGTAGGCACACGTACCTGGGGCTCGACGGATATGAATGTCATGGCTCGAAGCGTAGACTCAATGAGACAGATGAGAGGAGGCGGAGCAATATGGGCGCATTTGCTGGTTTGGTCAAATGGCATGTATCGTGCTCTCAACTTTACCGTAGTTGACACGCCAAACTTTCCAGGCTTAAACATTAGTGGTTGAGGTTCTTCGGCTGAGATAGACAACTTCCCGACTGCGCGGAATAGGAACCGACTGCGCAGCAGCGTTGAAGCCAGAACCGTGTATTCATCCGGAAAGTGTTCCGTGGCCACGGGTGGTTGCTGCTCCGCACAAGTGAAGAGGTTGATGGGCCTGACTTCCTCTGCAACACAATATGCGTCTCGAAAGAGCTGTGCGCATATTTGATACTTGATGTGACAGCAGCCCTTGTACCATAAACTCGGGTCCCGTTGACTGGGCTGCGAGAAATTGATTAAAAGAGAGCTGGGAAGCTGGTGAAGTGAGCCCAGGTCTGCGTCAGTGGTGGTGAAAGATGGAAGTGGTTGACGCGGCACCATGAACTGAAACTTCAAATGATCACTCGAATCTTTGACATCGACGTTCTGATAAAGAAGTATCTGAGTGGCATATACGAGCTATGTATTGGTCAGAGGCGAAGAACGATCCGACGCCGCCAATGCAAGCCTTACCTTTCGCGTTGTTTGCATGTGGTATAATCGGGAACATCGTCCTCGTGCGTCTATGGTATTAATTAGGTCCCCTGGGGAGTATCACTGGCAGTCAGTCTACGTATCCCATACGCAGTATCAAGACTAAAAGACTTACCTTCGAATGTCACTTTGATGCGTTGATTAATAGCACGCTGTCTGTCATTTCCAGAGACGACTATGTCTCCCTCAATACCGCTGTCGCTCAAGACAAGAGGATGACAGCAGGAGCGACCTGGTCCTTGGTCCGTACGTAGCGTGCTATTGACCACAATATCTAGAGCAAGGCTCATTGATGTGATTTATGGATGGGAAGAGACTAGAGGAAGGTAGCATAGAAGCTTGGACAAGGCCTCATTACATTTTTATGATATGAAGGACTTCAGGCGTACTTGTAGGGGGGATCCCTTTACGGAGTGGGCTTGTGGAGCCGGTTAAGGTTCCGGACACCAAGAATACAGAGATTTAGTCATCACAAAGGTTATGAGACAGTTTTCCAAAAGAAAAAACTCTCACTCTTTCGTCGGCATTTGCCTTAGGAAACTCTTCGCCTGCAGCTATGGAAACTTTTCACAACATAGTGAATGCAGGGCACACAAAAGTGAAAGGGGTTAAACATTCATTTTATATCTTGGTTCAGCCAGGGTCAGAGCATTGAAATAACATGATAGCGATCATTCTCCTTGTTAGCTAGCGCAGAGTTCTTTATGAGTGGCAAATATTCTGCCCGGAAGGATTTTCGATTGACTTGGCAATTCTGCCCTGGCAGTCCTTTACATAACTCATGCTGTGTCATTGATTAAAAATCACGCCCGGTACAGGATTTTGGGTAAGCACAGAAGTTCTGGTAGAGATAGAAAATTTAGACTAAAGAAAAGTTCAACAAAAGCTTTAAAAAACAATAACATACAATTTACGTATGTGACTAGCTCTACCGCCGTCTAGCAGCGATACCTATGTACTTGTCAAGACGGTGAAAATTGTCCATATCTTGTGCGGTCAACCAGCACACTAGTTTCCGGCGACACGGTTGTTGCTAGACCCTCTTACTGATTCGTGTTGGAATGAATGCATACCAAGACGAAGGGCCGCGAATTCTGAGCATTCCACTGTTCCTGGATTTCCGCAGCACGACACATTTCCCTTATTCGAGAAATTTCCTGGTTCGCAGCTAAGACAAATGTCATATTGCACCCAGACTGGAGGGCTGTCGCTTGTTGATGTCAGGGTCCCCGCTTTGGGAGTCTTTACAGGCCAGCCTTTCTTGGAGAGGCTTGGCAATAATATAACGGAAACAAAACATTTCTGCCCGGGCAGAAACTTAAATCGAGGGATCGCGTATCACAATTTTTAGGCAACATGCCATCGACATCATTTCAAGCAACGTGAAACCATCTTAAAAGCCCAGCACGATTACTTGTTTCTCCATGATCCATTAACGATATATAATCGCAGAGAATGCTGATTGTTATGAACGTCTGCATATGGTAATGTTTTCGAACGCATTTTTTGTTGGTTTTTTTTTTTCGACGCTCATCTTCGTGCTTCGAGGCCCTCATTAAGCTCTAGTAATCGAAAAGTGAGGACGAGTATGCGATTTAGTAACTTTGTACTTAGATTCTCCACGCAAAGGTATGATTTCAGATTAGTAGCAAAGTCTGCGTCGAACTGAGGGGATGGTATTTTGACACTAAGGACAGGGTTCTTCATCAAGTACCCATTCTCTCTTTGTCTCTGTATGGCAAACTGGGTACGCTCGGCATACCAGCGTCGTAACATGCTAGGAACGACTCCTGAAATCCAATAACGCTTCAACAGCAAGACCCCGATGGATACAACAATCAATGCATCTCAAGTGGACACCTCAATACTAGCACACACCAGTATCATTCAATCCGACAATTTGTCAAAACACCAAAAGGTTGTATCACAGAAGCGAGACCCAAAACTGATACAACCAATCTTTCTATCACATATCCCTATCACAGATAGCCAGTCACTGTTGGCGTTGCCGATCAGTCCTGGCTGACTATATACTTCAATGGCTTCGTTCTGTAGTTGCCAGTGCTTCTTTTGCCTCATATTCTACACCAGTAGCTTCCACGATGTCTACAATTTCAAAATTATCAAGGAGACGTGACTGGATGATATTTCGTTCTTTGAAGGTAAAGTGAACTCGCCTATTCATGGATTCTGGTAACATTCGATGAAGCATAGTATAACTGCCTATGGCTTTTGATAATGATGATCTCATTTGCCCGATGTAGCTTGCTCTATATATATGCTGCTATGCGGGAGTGCTGTCAGGCCTCTCGGCAGCTGCCAGGTGGTCGCCAGCCCACTAGGCCATCGTCAAGGAACTCGTCTTGCGAATTTCGATCAATCGCCCTCAAATGGAAAGATGTAGACTAAACAAAAGAAATGTACGGACGCAAACATGGTAAACACAAAGCCAGAATGAACGAACGAACCTCGTTTTACCCCTGATCGAGGACCCGGGCGCCACTTCAACACACACCATTTCCACGCCCTCTTCTCTCCAACCGTCCAGACTTGTCGGCTGCCACTTGCGAGCTCGCTTAGATCAAGGGAGTACATAATGGGCGCCATCCTTCTTCTTCCGTCACACTCTCTGAGGGGTCATTGTCTCCGCCCCTTTGTGTTCCCTTTCCTCGCCCAGAGCTGCCTATGGCTTTTCTGACACGAAGGGAGAAATATGAGCCTATCTTGCGTAAGAACTAGTTGTTTCTCTCATTTTTGTCTATATTTCGTGCGCTGAAAAACTCCATACAGCAATTGTATAATTGCTTGTCCTTCCGGGCGATTTTAGCAACGACAACATGGTGTTCAAGAGTCAGGTGTGTCGGTCAGAAGAATGAGATATATGGTATACGTGGTTCGCTAACGACATTTAAGTGGCTTGATGACAGTGCGCTAGCTACAAAGTATTCCGGGGGTGAAATGACAGGGTGTATGCATAAGAAGGGGGCTAAGCATACATTTCATATGGTGTCAAGACGATGTCTCGGTAGGTCAATCGAAATGGTAGGGGGCTTCTCCATGATTTAGCATGGTTTTGAGATCACATAGACTCTATTTCGGCTTGAGAGACATCAAGGTTTCCGCCAGAACCTCGTATCAAGACGATAGTGATCATTGAATTCGAGGCAGGCCGCCCGTGCAAGTCCGAAAACCTTAATCTCACAAGGAACATGTATCCTATTACTTCGTCGGGCCCTGACGGAATGGATCGAGCGTCCAGTTCATACGACAATGGAACGATTTGTTGTCCGGTTCCCCAGCGCTGGATTGCGTTGAGCTGCATTGGCAGGGATGGTGGGAAAATAGAAACATTGTGAGAAAAAAGAGCACCATTCTTGGTAGAAAAGTCGAAAATCTGTTTTATTTTCAGTAAGGGCATTGTCAACATGTCTTCGATGAGCGTACCAAAGAGGTAGTAGGGTCCATATCTTGAGCACAGTTTGTAATGGAGCAAGAGAATGAAAAGAGCGGAGCGGTTATTTGGCAGGTATCGAAGCCAAGTTGTTTCTGTTTGTTTGACACATATTCTGCGGTCACATGATTATGGGCCCAAGGCAGAGTCATTGCAGCGTAACCGGCCAAGTAGAAGTTGCTTGTCAACAACATGAAGTAAAATAACATATTGTGATATGGATTCCATGGGGCGACAGTGCCTAGAGTATGCTAACTTGGCGATCAAAGCATATATATCAAGTCATGTTTTTTAGTGGGAATACGAGAAATGATCTGTCGATAGGCATTCCAAGATTTCCAAGAACATCTGGTGTTACCAAGACTCTGGGCACGCCACACTTGATAGACCAATGTGCAAATATCTCGTGCGGAATAACACCAAGAGCCCCCGAATCCCTGAGACAGAGGTAACTTTCCATGGGCCAATATACTGTAGAACGATTAATGACTGATCAGAAAACCTGAACTTGCTACACCAATATTGCATTTCTAGTTAACTCGTTGAACTCTAAACAATCTGTCTGCCTATTTTCCAGAACCACTGGCTGGGTAGCACGCATACCATGTATTTTTCTGAAATCGTCCAGGTCTTCATTCGATCGCATAGAACTATGGAAATAATGTCGAGAGCGCAGAAATTTCAAAACAGCAGGAATCAGACCGAAAGATATTGAACTGAAAATGTTTGTAGCATTTACATTATGACAGACGCACTTACAACTGTCAAGTACCTTGTGCCGCCTTTTACCCCCCAACCTCCTTATAGTTCTATACCTCTGAACTACAGCAAGTACTACTAGACCTCGCACCCGCCCGCGAGCGGCCCTCCGAGGGTAGCTCGCGGACCCACAATTTTGAGGGCCGACAAACAAGACAAACAGGCAAAAAACGTGACTTTTTTTAATTACGCTATGTATGAACGCTGTTTATAGACCTTTTATATACGTAATATTTAATTTTCTTTCAATAGGTAGAATACATTAATATTTAAATTTATAAACTACTTTCAAATGAATTGTAGAACGCGTTATTTAGATAGTTTATAAATTACAGAATTTCACTCAGAAAGTGGTAGTTCTGCCGCATATCTCAAAAATATATATCCAATATCAAGATATGAGTTCTACATTTTTACGCGATTTCTCAATTTTCACGGATCGCATTTAGTTCAAAACTCAAAGATACACTTAGAAAGTTTACTTGAATCTATGGTCTAATTTTGAACTTCATACGATGCGTGGAAGGTCATAATACAGCAATTACAAGAGGCTGGTTATGCGGGCGGATGAGGGCTGATGACGGCGGCCCTCGCGAGGGCTGAGGGCCGGGCGAGGGCGGGCACCTACACGCCCTCCGCCCTCGCGGGTCGGGCGGAGGGCAGGCAATGCCCGCCCTCTAAATGTTTTTGGCGAGGTCTAAGTACTACCAGCTTTATTGCGATTTCTGATAGAATAAGTCATAGCAACTCGTCCAAGTCGTAAGCCTTGCTGACTCGGATCATACAACAACGGAGGTCCCTCATATTCCTGTCACTCTAGTAGACTACGAGGCGAGTTTTTGTCTTGTCTGCTCGAGCTCTCCTATACCCATTCGATCGCATGCTGTCATCATTTCCACATAGCTACTGGTGGCATCGATGATGAGCCAATGTAAGGTCCAGATCGTCTCGGCCCTTCTCTCAGTCGACTCTGCGCATCAGTCATGTGCTGGTGTGTCTACCTGATACAAAGCCCAAGCCACAATGGGCTCATATCACCGTGTGTCTCGGTATTCGAACACTGTGAAAGAATAGCCTCCTTGTGGATCGAATTCCTGGCGTCTAATTGGTGATCCCCATTGTTCTGGGTTGGCATCTCGCGTATTTTCAACCCTGGCACTCCGAAAGACCCGATGAATGCTGGTGGTTTTGTCTTGCTTCGTGGCAGGCGAGTTTTCCTGTGGACGTCTCTGTGGAGCGTATGAAGTGCCAAACTCTTCGTCTATGCCACCAAACCATTCCTTTGAGTTGAATGGTTATTAAGTCCAAGGCAAGTTCGACATCCCAGGCCAGCCGCATGCCATCACGCTATCTGCCATCTAATTCCAGGATTGAAGACGAGGTCCGGCCCCATCTGTTTCGCACCGACAAAACACTGGACGACGTCAGCCCTCGGGGTCCCGTGAGATAATACTGACGCATGTACGGTTGTGGGTCTGGATCTTAGCATTCTCGCGAGTTCTAGCGCCCCAAATGATTCTTTCCGGTACTGCATCGGCAGGGTGCCATACGGCAGTCATGGAGCTCATGTAAGAGCGGGGACTTCGATCTCGAAGACGTCAAACCGCTCCACAAGAGGATGATAGGACTGGAATAGCACTCATTTTTAGGAAGGATTTGCCATTGAACTCAAACCAAGCAATCAAGTTCTATGCATTGCTATTTCTGTGGGACTGATTCCGCCTATCCGAGCATATGTCTCCACTTAGGCTTTTAATGACGACCGATGCACTGGCTATCAAATATCAATGGACTGTCAGACCATTAACAGTTAATGGAGGATATATAACACAGAGCTGATCAATTAGATAGACCATGCTGATAAGTATTGAAGGCGAAAGAGTAGCGATCGTTGCGACCGCTTGACATATTTAAGCACGGAAATCTGCGGCGTACACTGCGAGTGAAACCGAGTAGGACGATTCGGATAGACCTTGCCATTTATATGGATCATCTCAAAAATCATGTCCACGATCACCATCACGAAGTCAGGTGCATCAATCCGACTAAACAAAGAGGGATGTGGGCAGATACCTTTTACTGCGCATTCTTTGTTTTCAGCAGACAAGTCATCCAAGTTTTGGCTAGTGGACATACTTAGGCCATTATCATTCCTCGAGTTAATTGCAGTGACCTCAGGAATAACAATGGGTTGTCCTACTGTTGTTCCGTTGCTGGGTGATTTTCTATCGGATCTCAGTCGTACGATTCCCGCCGACGGGGTATATCAATTCACATGCAGTTTGATTCAAAACGATCAGTGCCATGCACTGGAACTGAGACCGAGATCAAGTTCTCGTGGTTGGCAACAATGCTGAATGCAAGGGCTCACTGTTTTCAAAATTTTCAAAAAGGAGGAATGTGATGATTTTGTGGCTTGGCAACCATGTAGGAGCTTACCACGGTCTGGTTATAAAGCTGGCAGGGAGTAATTTGCTGGATGCGACATTTGGCGGGAAAATTTCTCGATGCCATATCAGTCTACAAAATGACACATACGCAGTCGCTGTTCCTGACCTTGATGGGCGCTGCCGCCCTGACTCAGGCAGCCAAAGTTCATTATGACCTTGACCTTACATGGCAGAGAGGCTCGCCAAACGGACATGAGAGAGAGATGATATTTGTGAATGATCGCTTTCCAGGCCCTCCATTGATTCTAGATGAAGGGGATGAAGTCACAGTGAGCCTGATCCTGCTTTTAATCCCCAACCTTTACTAAGAGGAATAGATAGATGTGTTTAACAACTTGCCATTCAACACATCGGTCCATTTCCACGGCATTGAGTAAGACCCGGGGAAGATGCACTACCGAGAAGCTCACAACACTGAACTACATCAGACAAACCAACACCCCATGGGCCGACGGAGTATCAGGTCTCTCCCAATGGGCCATCAAGCCCGGTGACAAATATCGATATCAGTGGAAAGCCACGACTTACGGTACATACTGGTACCATGCCCACGACAAGGATAGAATAATGGATGGTCTCTACGGTGGCATTCGTATCCGGTGAGTATGTAGCAGACCGTCTCTTTGTGGTTCTAATGAGTGAAATAGTCCGTCTGACGACCGGGAATCGCCTTTCTCAATGATCTCCGATGACCCCACCGATATCAAGGCCATGACCAGAGCCGCCCATGATGCCCAGTTGGTGATCATGTCTGACTGGAACCATCTGCCGTCCAATGAGTATATGGATGCTCTCAGAGAAACAGGCTATGATATCTTGTAAGGGCCCAAATATGATAGGCAAAGGGCGACGCTCACAACTACTAGTTGCTCGGACAGCATTCTCATCAATGGCGCAGGCTCCGTATACTGCAAAGACCCTGATTACCTGACAAACCTCCAGCCGCCGCAGGTCAGACAAGTCATAACTGAGTCTTTGACGGATAAGGGGTGAGTCTGACCTTTGTTCTACTGAGTTAAGAACCACTAATAACCATCAGATGTGATCCATTCATGCCAATTCTTCAGGGGAACTGGGAGCACCACCCAGAGAAGCTTCCTGCGGGGTTGAACTCTGGATGTGCTCCCAGCGAGGGTCCGATTTCAGTCTTTGAAGTGACACCTGCCGATCGATGGGCCAGTTTCAACTTCGTCAGTGCAGCAAGTCTCAAATCGTTAATTTTCTCCATCGATGAACACCCGATGTATATCTACGAGGTGGATGGACGTTACATTGAGCCCCAGCTTGCACATCAAGTTTCCATTTACAATGGAGAGCGTTACTCTGCTATGATCCTGTTGGATAAGGAGCCTGCCAGCTACACCATCCGTGTTGCTGGTCACGACAACCAGGTTATCTCTGGCTACGCCACTCTCACTTACAAAGGCAGCGAGAAAAGCAAGCGTGAATCAACGGCATACATCGATTACGGTGGTAGCAACACCACAACCTCTGTAATCGACTTGGACACTACTAACCTGCCGCCATATCCTGCCGTCCTGCCTGCGGAGGACGGCGACGATTTCCATCTCCTAATCCTTGGACGGATCAACTCATCTTGGGAATGGACTTTGGATGGAACAACCTTCCTCCCAGCCAATCTGAACCAAATGGAGCCAGTGATTCTCAACCCCAAAGCACCCGGCCTGGCTTCTGCCCTCAAGATCGAGACCCTGAATGGCACCTGGGTGGACATTGTGTTCCAGCTTGCAATCCCAGAGCCGACCAAGTTGCAGCCACCACACCCAATGCACAAGCATTCCAACAAGGCATTTTTGATTGGTAGTGCAATGGGAAAGTTCACATGGGGATCTATCGCTGAAGCGAAAGCGAGCAGCCCGGACAGCTTTTTTGAAACGCCTGTGTACCGCGACAACTTTGTCACCGCGCCGAACGGAGAAGCTTGGATTGCTATTCGATACCAGGTTGTGAACCCAGGGCCATTTCTCTTGCATTGCCATATGGAGACGCACTTCATGTCGGGCATGGGAATGGTCTTGCTAGATGGTGTCGATGCTTGGCCTGAAGTTCCTGCCAACTATCTATAGATTCTGTTGACGGTCGATGGATCGGTAAGTCTCGTACGTAGCAATGGATTAGCACTAAACGGCTGTTCTTCTAAGTACATCCGTCCACCTGTTCCATACATACTCAGACTCAGGGGCTTGCTTCTTAGTAAGCTTCTCTTGTGGATCCTGTCCAAAACGGGCTTAGTGGTAAACTACCACTGACACTATCCTTCAATATGGTATCGATCCCGACGACGTTTATAACTTCGACGAGACTGGTTTCGCGATGGGATTAATAGCGACCACGAAGGTTGTTACGAGGGCTGAATACTACGGCCGGCGATCGCTTTTACAACCTGGAAATCGCGAGTGGGTAACCACAATTGAATGTACGAATGCTTCGGGTTAGACCTTGCCTCCGTGTGTGATTTTTAAAGGCAAGGTTTTTATCGAATCTTGGTTCGATAACCTCCTGGATGATTGGCGATTCGAAGTAAGCCCGAACGGCTGGACTTCCGATGAAATTGGCCTTCGTTGGCTCGAAAAGCTCTTTATTCCGTCGACTTCTTCGCGGTTAAAGGGTCGATATCGACTTTTGATACTCGACGGCCACGGAAGTCATTTAACCCCGAGGTTCGACGAAATCTGTGAAAAAGACGATATTATACCAATTTGTATGCCCGCACATTCATCACATCTTTTACAACCGCTCGATATCGGTTGTTTTGCGGTGTTAAAACGCTCGTACGGTCGGCTTGTCGAAACGAAGATGCGCCTCGGGATTAACCACATCGATAAACTTGATTTCCTCGAGGCATACCCGTACGCTCGAATCGAGGCTTTTGAATCTGATACTATCAAGAATAGCTTTGGAGCAGCCGGTCTAATACCTTTTTGTCCCGATCGAGTACTGTCAAATCTTAATATTCGCCTTCGAACCCCGACACCCCCCACGAGCCGGGGTAGCGATTCAAGCCGGAATTTCACACCAAAAACCCCTTTTACCGAGAAACAACTACGTCGGCAAGCTTCATCAATTAAAGCTTTACTTCGTACAGGATCTCGAAGTCCACCGAGCTCATCGGATCGCGCGTTAAATCAGCTTATTAAAGGCTTCCAACTCCAGATACAAGGCGCTACAATTTTAGCAAAGGAAAACAGCTAATTACGCGCTGCCAACGAGAAGCAGAAGCAAAAGCGGACTCGATCGACTAGACAGATAGCCCATGAAGGGGATATCTCAGTTCAAGAGGTTCGTGAGCTACGTGCGGAGCCGTTTGAGGCCCAAGTAGCCCGTATCAATAGTTATCGTGAGCAGCTTTCAGAGGGTTTACAACCACTCATAGGGGGGCCAGCGAGGATGTGGAATTTGTAGGAAGCCAGGCTATAGAAGAGAGACATGTCCAGATAGACCTATTTCTTAGTTAATTAAATATATGGTGTTTGGGTTGAAATAAATGCATTTGAAATTAATCTATCGGGGTGAGGTGACCACTCGCTTAGAATGACCACTCGCTTACCGATTACGTTAGTTAGTATTCCTGGAAAGTGCGCATGGATCCTGGGACCCAGAGCTCCTTGAGCCATGCGCTCGGTTTAAATTTTTCATCTCCGCTCATTCATAGCATTAAGGAATCTTAGTGCATGCCCGTGGCTCACGTTCCATCATGGTGGTGGAAAAGAGTATAAACGGTATCTTGATACCTTCCTTCTTGCATCTTTTCCCGTCCATCCTCCTTTCGGTTGATATATCAAGCGTTATACTAACAAGTCCGAGAATCCACAATTCCACGAAGCTCGCAACATATTTACAGCCCAACAATCTTCTCTCCACAAATTGAAAAACTCTTTTCCGCCTTAATGCCACAAAACAAAACCATAAATTGCTCCTTTGCTCCTTGCACCTCGTAACAAAAGCTGCCATCGCATGTTCCCCCCAGTTTGGTATTTCCGGTATTTCCGATATGTCGTCTGCTCGCCTGTCCTACCAGCCGTGTCGTATTTCAAAAAAAAAGACGCGGTCGCGAAGTGCCTTCTTGCCAATCTTGCGTTGCGCGCGGTAATCCGCGATATGTGTGTATGAGACAGGGTGTTCATGTTGTCATAACTAGCAGTCACTATGACAAATTAAGCGACCGAAGCAGCAGGATACAATTCTTAAATTTGCGAATATGAAAAAGTCTGAGTAAGTCCCTTATTCACTTCATTTTATTCATATTCGCAATCAATCGTGAAAATTCAGGAATATTCTTATTCCTCTCGGAGCCCTATCCAGGAGAAGTAGACAAGCAATGACATGACATTGCCGGCAGCCTGCAAGAACCCTTCTTGGCGGAAAAGTCTAACCAATCAGCACCGAGAACGACAAAGAGTCCGGCAGTGCGAACGCAGCTCATGGCCGGTAGTGGACTCCTCTACTCGTTCTTCGTTGCAGGGCAGCCAAAAACCTCAACAAAGGTACTTTTAAAATTCTAAATAAAATGGGTGTTAATCATCTGATGTGGCCAAGAACAGCTATATGCTTTCGGAGGCGTCGGACCCGGGCGTCCTGGACCAGCTTGAGGTCTTCCACGATGTTCTCCACATATGATGCGCTCATCCTGCTGCTCCCAAAGTTATCGATAATATACTGGTCGTAGTGGCGATCCTCTTATTCATATGTACCATATGGAATAAGAGGAGTTATCACGAGAACATAATACCAATCGGGCCATGTGATGTCATTCGCCTTGTGGTGAGTCAAATATATATACAGAGCTTTTGAGCAAAGGTTATTGTCGTAGTTAATTTTCCAAGAACATCATTAAATATCCTCCAACCACTTAAATCGATTTATTGGAGACATCTATATTCCACCATGTCGGACTTCTTCCGCAGAGCGTCTGACGCGTTCCACCATCGCCAGCGTCAAGACTCAACCGACTCAACCGACGTGCCCAAGTCTCCCGACTTAGCAAAACCTCCCGAGCAAGAGCCACTCAATCAAAAGTCCGAGTCTGCTCAGCCTGGCTTTCACGACAACGAGGCTTTTGCTGGTACAGCAACTGGTACGATCTCACTTTCCCTCGTTTGGATCATCTGGATTTCTGCGTCTGGTTTATACTAACAAGGTCATGCAGATAATGTTGCCCATCCGAAGCAACGTCGCCATTGGGGCTGGGGACACCACCCGGGAAACAAACCCGAGACAAAGCAGCAACCTAGCCAGGAACAAAAAGACAGTACTAACTAGGTTGTTGGGTCGTTGAAATATAATCGTGTTCGACGGAGTGGCCGGGAGCTGGCGTTCAGTTTTAAAGAGGCTAGCAGTGACTGGGATACGACGAATGTGAGATTGTGAAGATAATACAAACCATCACATGCCGCTTTCTATGGCGATATGGAACACAAAGGTGTGAGATGTATCTTCTATGTGGCCATCGTCATAACTCTCTTTCGCGGCTTGGGCGGGTAACTTACTAAGATTGCCAAACTGGCATGCTTGTTCTAAATGCTTTGACGTGAAACATTTACATAGCCACGATCCGATCGGACTTCGATAGCAGGATCTCAGGTACCTTTTTGAACGCAGCTTTCAAATACTCCAGTGGGTGCATCTTATGGAAGATTTCTCCAAGGAAAGATGCCAGACAGTCCGTACTCACGTCAGACATTGGCTCCGCCTCTAGTACTAAAGTCAAGAACTTCGGTACCAGTATCGAGTTCAAAAACGAAAATGCTCGTCGATAACACTCCATCCTCTCTAAATCACATCTAATGTAGATCTTGTGCAGCTTTGTCAAGGCAACGCGGACTTCTTCGAGCTGTAAGGCTCCTTGAAGGCTAAGTATCATCGATTGCTGCTGGTGCATCGAGACCTCAGCTTCCAAAAGTGGCGATTCTTTGAGCTGGAAAGCCCAATATTGAAAGAAACCCTTGGTCACGTGACCCGATCTCCTTCGACTCATACCCTTCAATATCTGTGGCTTGAATTCCCGTAAAGGCGTAACAAATCAACGCGACGCTTGCTTTGACCCCAAAAGGCCGGTATGGAGGGCGTTGTCGCTGATACCATGTGTGATGGAAACTTGGGTGAGGCGATGTATCATGTATGTTGTCCTAGAATAAACTGGATGTACTGGATTTGAAACTCCAAATTTTCTATGGACATGCCATGTACGTCTTCAGATTGGGTCAAAGTCTGGCGTGTGCTGACCCACCACCACAGCAGTCCGTCGTATTTCAGAACAAAGCCTTCTTCCCAGTCGTTTCCACGGCGATAGACGATGTGCCATAACGCCCCTTCATCTCCAGGAAGCATTGCAGAAATGAAGAGGTACAGTAGTAAAGTACCATCAATAGTTGGTGAATCGTGTGCGGCTTCTTTTAAGCTGCCGCAAAGCTTGAAGTTGGAGCTTGGATTATGTACGCTGATGGCAGGGGAGCGTGTTCAGTGATCAACTTTTGGTCCCTAATATACCTTACCGTAGCTCAACTCTACCAGAAGAGCCACTTTAAATTATTCTTTTGTTAAACAATGGTTTGATTGACGCAAGACGTTCTCAGACATGGTCGCAGAGGGACAAAAACTATTGACGGCTGTGAGAAGGGCATTGTTCACTTTCACTGTCCCGTTTGAGGAGAATTCTTCTGTTGATATCTCGATAGGTTTGATGTCTGCACGGAGGATGATTGATTAATGTAGAGGCTTTGTTCTTCGTCTGCATGCTGGATGGCGGGTTGCATTGTTTGACTGCAATCTAGTAGGGTTGTTGTCCCATGTTTGGGCGACTTTTGAGATTGTATCGGGTGACTTTCGGGGGTAGGTTTCCACTGCTCTCGTCGCTTGAATCGCTGTTGCAGCCGGTAGATACGACCTGCAGAACCCTTTTCTCCATAAGCACACGACGAGAGTTTGTTGGAGATTTTGGTGCATTTGGGCGGCAGTGCGATATTTGCACTCGCAAAATCAAGCAAAAAGCTTCATTTGAGACTGCTCCCCAGCATCTGGACTTACAACATCAAGTTCCAGAATAGCAATATGTTGCAGTTGACCGACAAACCCGACAGCATTGCTCTTGCAGAGTCTTTGCTTCCGCACAACTGCAATGTCAAAGTTTTTTACTGGGGAAAAACTGCGGAAAAACTGCGTTGATGGGGTGCTACATTAATTCCACTGCTGTGCGTGAGGTCTTGTTGAACAGTCCATAGCTAGATACCAATGCCCAAAACCACGCATAGGAGAGAGCGCTGTGATACGCCATCCACTGCGCAAACCTTTCCACTTCGAAGAGTGTATTTAAGAGACCCAACCTGAAGGTTGACGTAGAACACAAAAACGGCCGAAAGGGGCTCCATCTAGGAATTCTCGGGGGCAAAATAGGTTTCGTGCCTTTATTGCTCGTGATAGGCAGTGATTCTGGTCTCCAGCATGATACAGGCCTCTCCCCACGGGCCTGGGCATATCAGTACGATAGAGACGTCATGAAGATGACGCTTTCATGCGCGGATGACCTTGGGTTCCTTGTCGGTCCGCAAAGCACTCAAGATGCCAAGCTACCGCTTCATCAAGCAGTGTCGCATAGGTCAGTGGACGCTGTCAAACCGCTCCTTAAACGAACAGGTGCAACACTGGACATTCTTGACGAAAACGACAGTGCGCGGCTATATCTTGCGGTTCATAGCCGCCGCCTGGATTTGGTCGATTTGCTTCTGAGACACCCTCGTGCCAACGTGAACTGCAAAGGATAAAGTCCTCAAACGACACCTTCACCAGATCTGCGCACAAATCTGAGTCATTCGATCACCCCTAGAAGGCCAAGTCATAGCCCCAGGAACCGCAATTAAGTCTCCAGGAGTTAACAAAGCTGTCCACAGTAACATGGCTTTGGTTCCTCCAGGTGGAGGTACGAGACCCCAGAAGCTACGTCGGGTTTCCTGGGGGCTATATGTCTCCTAGAAACTGCTTATACGATCCTAGCAACTGTATAAAAGCCTCTGGAAGCAAGCGAGCTCCTAGGGCCAAGACATGCTTTCCTAGTGCTGATAAAGCTGTCAACAGGAACGTGACTGATCTTCTGATATTGAAGGTGGAGAATCTTACAAGCTACGTACGATTTCCTAAGCTCACATGTTTCCAGCGTCGGCGTTTTGAACGTCAATCGTTACATATCCAAATATGAGAATTAATGTGAGAATACGGCTCTAATATCGACCAAGATTAGCGGGTTGATCAGACCAAGAGATGAACACGTTTTGATTCCAATCAAGCACTATAATTGGTAAACTGTAAACTATTTTAGCAACTTTGTAGTAAAATCGATTCCTTTGCATGACTCCATCCGTCACACCTCTCTAATGTTTTCGGATTCCACCTCCCTCATCCATCGAAAATTCGTGATGGAATTTGTGATTGTGTTCATTCGGACTGCTCCCTGTGTCATTCCTTCGCAGCTCCACTCTGGATGCACTTTGAAGCACAACTTGGATTGCTTTGTCGGCTTGAAGTGCGTACTCTGCTAGTGTCTGCATTAGTCGCGTACGACCAAACGCATGACAGAAAGGATGACCACTAGAACACCGAAAGCGGCCTGGCCAACAGCTCCATAGTACATGATCCTGTAGTATGGAAAGTGGCTCTCACTGCCAAAGAGCTCGAAGGATATCTGAAAGCCCTGGACGTGGCTAGCAACATAACCCCCTAATGAAAGAACGATCTACGACGATTTGACTGCAACCGTAGTAAAATCGAGCGGTGCAGTTCTCTTGTAGCCACTTCGGGTAGATCACTAGGACAAATCCGAAGATGGGAAACAAGGCTGAGACCAGGGCCACAATCACCAAGCCCACGAGCACGTTGTCCATGAGGTTTTAGAATGTGATGTCCAAAATAGAGTCGCTCGGGGTGACGAGGTCAGTTTTTGCGCAGTCTCGCAGGATGACCGCAAAGCGTACAATGGCCGAACTGAGACTGGCAAGGGCCAGCCAGGTGATGGTCAAGAATAAAATGACGAGACGCATCCGATTCACGGCCCCGGCAGTATTCAGAGGCATTCTTTGTTCGCAAGATCGGATTGACCGAATGCAAGAAGGTGAGTCAGGTCTCGTTCAAGGGAACAGCGGAACAAGGTAAAGAACAGCAGCTGAAAGATGGAGCAGGTCAATATCTCCGAGCGCCGTGAAGCTTATATACACCATGTGCTTCACACAAAAGTTGCCTTTACAAAGAGCAGCCTAGCTGATACTGAGCCGCGTCAGATGCCTTTTTGATTAACGATGCTTCAGTGGCAATCTGCATGGACTTTTTCTCAATCAGAATGTTTCAAGTTGAAGCGCTATTTCTATCCCTTAGGTCGATGGCCTCGGAAAACGTGTTTGATCTCCTTTGGAGTAAAGCAGCTCCTGGAATCACCGAGCTCCTAGGGTCCGCTGTCATGTGAAACGGGGCGAATATCCATCAGCATCTCCTAGATGGGTAAGGGTAATGGAGCGTGCATAACAAATTTCAAGTGGGGCCAGTGTGAATCCAGGAGAATTACCATAGCTGATACTAACATGGTTTGCCTTGGTCTTTTTGCGATACCTCACTTTGCTGTACTCGAGGAAGCTACGCTTTGCTGCTGATTGACAAATTCCCCAACAATCTTTTGCGAAGACGTATCCACCTACTATCTACCGCATTTGTTGAACATGTGTTTACTAACCAGCTTTTAATGCGTCTCCGAGCGATGAGAAATCCGGCACTGTTCGGTGAACCCACGCGGCCAATTAAGAAGCGAGTTCAAACTGGGACCAAGTCCCGCTATGGCAGAGGAACTCAATATGGCTCAGAAAATATCTTCTATGGGTGGAAAACTCACATGGTGCTGGTGTTCAATGGTGTTTTATTTCAACGTTGATGTAAACGTGGATATCAACTATCTAACACCATTCAACACCCGTACATCAACGATGGTGGTGATCTGAGGACATCCTACAAATGTTATTATACCAGCACGCTACTAGCGGATTATTATTGAGGATACTAAAAGCTCCAGTGCTCCTGGAAGCCCAAAAAAGACTCCGCCGGTCGTATCTTGTACCGTGGATTTCGGTGCGGTTGGATCATGCAGGCAATGACAAACTCCGAGGCATCGGAATGCAACTCCCTTCCGCATGTTCCTATCCATGACCAACTGGCAGCCATGTTGCACCGTAGCGCGGCAATCAATTTTGCGGCCTTCTTGCGACACTGTGCGATTTGGCTTTCTCCTGTGAGGTGCTCGTCTAGCATGACGCCGAGGTATTTGAGTGACGAGTTGGACCTGACTTCAATGCCTTGAGGAGTGATGCTCTCGCCAGACAGCGGTCGACTTACCCTCCTAGCTCTCCAACCTTTCTTCCACAAGTGGATTAATCCGTACTTGGCGGGTGTGAAGCGTCAGGCGTGGCGGCTTGCCCAGGCATCTGCGACTTGATGCGGCCTCTCGAGGAGTTGGCAGTTGTCCCGCGCGGATTCACTCCACACCAGGATACAGATATTATCGATGTATCCGGCCACAAGAGCTTTTCCGGCGGCAGCAGCGTGGAGCTCGTCGATGAGGTCTGCATTGTAGAAGAGGTAGAGGATCGGTGATAGCGGTGAGCCCTGTGGGATGCCTGTGGCAACCGGGTGTGTGCCCATCGAGCCTTCTTGTACAACCAGAGTTGTTGAGCGTTCTCTCAGAAAGCTGAGAATCCACCGGACCATTTCCTCCGGTATCCTCCGCTTCCCTATGCAGTGGGCTAATCTCTCATGTGCCACATGGTCGAACACTCCCGTCACATCAAGTGTTAGCAGTGTAGCGACGTGTTCCTGGTGGTTGTATAGAAGGTGACATTGGTTCGTCACTGTTGTAATTCGGAGGGATTTTTGATTGATTATCCTATTCCAGAGGCAATACGTGAGGCTATATATGCAGCATGAGCTCCAAGTTGATTTCGAATCAACTTGCTTCTTCGTATAGACAACTCGGGAATTAATTCCGAGGGTGCGGCTTTGTTCCTGATCTGCACTGGCCTCATATCACAACAGTCACCAGTGGCAAGCAAACGACGGTGAAGTCTTTGTCGGTGGGCTTTCTGGCCGCAGGCGGGGCATGTTATATAGAGAGCCGACTGCCAAGGTCGCGAGCAGCTGGATCATAGCACGGTTTCCACGGAACGAGATTCCATAAAAGCGGAATAAAGTGTGAAGCAGAATGAAATTGTATAAGTCAGGTAGGGTTTTCCAGCACCCTCAACGAGGCGCAAAATTGAAAAATGCTCCGGGCAACGATAGATTTGATAATAAGTGAGATTAAAGGGAGACAACCCTTCGAAGCTACTCGAGATTATGATGACTGAAGATATGGGAAAGTATTTACTTAATTGACAGGCCAGGCAGAGGGAAAACAATGCAAGGACACGAACAGAAAAATAGCAAGAGCGGACTTAGAATATTAAGATGGAGAGAAGGACATACGAAAGCAAGTGGAAGATAGGGACAGCGGCACGAAAGGGAGACTAAAAGAGACGTTCAAAAGAGACATTCAATAGAGATTGAGAACAAAGCACAGTTCAACCAAGAGCTTTAAACAAGAACGTTAAAACAAGAAAGTTTAAGCAATATTAATTGAGAACCTACAAACGTTTAGACGAGAACGTTTAAAAGAAAACGTTTGAACATTGCACGGTCAAACCAAGAGCGTTTAAACAAGAACATCCAACAAGAAAGTTGAAAGAAGATTAAATGAAAACATTCTAGCGTTTAAATGAGAATGTTTGAACAAGACTGTCGTCGCCTAATAAACACGGCAAAGCTACGCAACTAACAATATTAGTAAGTATAAGATAAAGAGCTGGGCGGCTATGGTTTAAACAGAGCACATGTAGAAAAAGAACGTTGATAAACAAAGCGTTTACATAGTACAGGAGCCTTGAAAACGGGGCTGTTCAAAATCGTTGAGTTCTGGTTGGTTGGTGAAGAAGGAGCCTGTTGAAGACGAGACATATCACTTATTTGCCCGAAACTCCACATATCAGACACCCTCCGAGGAGGCTATAAAGGCGAGGGGAGCGTTGAAAACAGGGGGATGTCTAATCAGCGACGGTTTATTTAATACATCTTGTGGTGTTGAACTAGGGTTGTTCAGATGGTAATCAAGCCTTGCTGGATTCAGATAAGTTGATCAAATTTGGAATCGTTCAGCCGAGACGAGCTACATACCGCGACGTTTGCTGTAACATGTTCAGTCCTTTGACCAGTCGGTAGATTCCTATCCTAAACGATCACCAACAGGTGGTCAAGCCTCGATCGTCTCAGCCTAATTGATTTCACTTTGCTCTATCACGGTCAAAACATCGAGCGCATTCTTCTGTCGTGTCCAGAACTTACTTCTACAGCGATTCTCGAAATCGGCTTGACTCTTTTCTGACCCCACCGGCTTAATGCGCATAGATTATTGAGCAAGCCATATTAAAATGAGGGGCAACGTGTGGTCTTTTATATTGCCACAAGAGATTACATTTATGCTTTGATCGTTGAACGATAAGCCCCAATGGCCACTGGACTATATGGCGGCATAATACTGCGGCCCTTGATTTGATGCGGCTTGTTCAATAATCTATCCGCGCAAGGGCCGTGGCGGTAGGGCCAGAAAAGAGTCGGGCCGATTCCGAGAATAGCTGTACTAGATCTACGTCAGAGAGATCTGCCATCTATTGTGGTGATATCTCAACGGAACTTATTCAGCGCACGGTCACCTCGCCATCACCATCTTGTTAGACGATGCATGTGCATTTGCCACGCAGACTTGTAATTGTATATTTTTTACCTATTTTGACCTGATTTTGAACCGGTCATGCTTCGTGCCCTTGTGGGCCATTAGGGCCATTCCACCACTCAATTCCCGTGTCTAGAGTACACCACTACTAATGGCCTCGAGTCAGATCTGTGATGCTAAGGTCCGGGGTTGTCAGAATTGGTGAGTGGGAGGGCAGTCTAGTTTGTGAACGCTTTCGGGAGTGGCCCTGACGAATTTATAGCGCTACTGTTCTGGCCCGTATGGCCTTGCAACGCCTTGATCACCTCCGTGATTCCCCCTCTGACGTGCGTCAATTCAGTCTCTAGCCGACTGGCTCGGTGTGAGCTGGTGTCAAGCTCACTCTGAAGCAAACGAGACTTTGTCTGGAATCGACCGCTATCGCTGCGCGCGTCGTCCAGCCGGACCCGAGTATGGCGGAGCTCATCCCCAGCTCGCGGATCTTTGCTGTAATTAGGCCTCGTAATGGAACCTCGAGAACCGCGGTTCTGAACCGCACCGCACCTCGGAGGTGCGGTTCTTGGTGCTAGACCATGGAACCGCGGGGCATTTTTAGTATTTTTGGACCCGAACCGCGGAGGTGCGGTTCGAACCGGAGGTTCCACAAACAGGACAAACCCAAGGAATCCCATGACATGCATAACTTGTGCAAGTTTTGACTGTATTTTTCAGTATTTCGCTTACGGATCAGCTCAAAGGTCAGATGAAAGCTTAGATGGAAGGTATATTGTGAAAGGTCAAATCAAAAAAGATTATCCTTCTAAATTCTACTAACTCTATGGCTTTTCATACACAAAATCTTCATCTCACCTTGAACGCTTTGGAAGCCGTCCTGATGAACGCCTCTGAGTACTGCTCTCTCCAGGTATATGGATGTTGTCAGGTAGGGGAACTTCATCTTCTTTATCTAGGTCAATCACATGCTCTTGGGCTTCTGTGATGCTTTCTGCCCTTGGTCTTTCACCAAGCGCATGCTCACTCACCAGCTGGACGGTTTGAGATATGGCTGCTGAAGGCTCATCCTCGCTGTCACTGATGAGATCAAATTCACACTCTGCCTTCCGAGCATCATTTTCCTCCCTTGCTGCTTGCGTCTCTTGGGTGGTGAGATAATCATCCATCAGAGAAAGTTGTTCAGATTCCATGTCAAACTTTGTTGTACACATAAACAACATAAGATCCTGGATTGTTTTGGATTTCAGCGAGCCTCGACGGTAGTGACAAATATCACGGGCAGAGTTGAATAGCCGCTCAACGCCAGAACCGCTAGCAGGAGTTGTGAGAACGTCCCGTGCTAGGCTTGCGAGTATGGGAAATTCATGCTGATGTTCCTTCCAGTATATCCGTGGGTTCACTAGTTGGGTACCTGTAACGATCAGCAAGAAGGATTTGAGACAAAAGACTAGATGAAATGACTTACTACTTCCGAGATACCGCGAAAGCTCGTCATGAGCGCTATTCTGCGGCCGGAGAGATGCGGTCGAGGTCACGAGGATATCAACATCAGATATTCCCCCTATCAAGGTTTGGCTACTCGATATGGACTGCGTCTCTGAATAGCGCTGCTGGTAGGGCACCAGGCAATTCTCTAAGCTCTTGCGGTATCGAACACGCCAGTATGGCTCCCAGTCCTTGCCAGAAAAGAACTCCAACTTATTTTGTGGCGCCAAGATTGTTCCAATCGCGTAGAGATCACTATCAATCTCATTGGTCAGCTTATAGTACTCTGAGAGCTTCAACCTCGCCGCGTGAATGGCAGATAGCATCACTTTCTTCCAGTCAACCATCTTTCGTGCACGTTGAGCTCTAGACTTCTCTAAATGAGAGAAAAGGGTGTTGTAGATTGCGAAGACACTGCGGATGGTGATTTCCTTGGTCTTGGAAAGGGATGTAGTGAAGGTAAAGAATGGCTGTGTGATTGAAAGAAGATAGTCAATCTGTCGCCATTCATCGTGGCTTGGTTGTAGCTCCCGGTTGTCGTATTGCGAGCAGAAGTCATTGAGAACAGACTGTAGGCGTTTCGCACGCCGTAGCATCAAGTAAGTTGAATTCCAACGTGTCCGGACATCCTGTATTGGAACAAGCTTTGGCTCCTTGGTCTGAAGGTCTAAGAAATTCTCTCGGCGTTGAGGGCTTTTGTTGACGAAGACCGCAAGTCGTCGAATCTAGTAAACAGTTAGTCGTGGTAATATTAGAAAGCATATAGTCTTACCTTAGAGAGGGTCTGCACGATTCCGCGGTTCTCTCGGCGCGCCCCATCATCTCTTTTAGACCATTCCATTTCTTCCCTTTCGTTTCTTGGATTTGCTTCCATCTGCCCGAGCAGCTCTTTTAGGCTGAGTTGAATGACATGTGCAATGCATGGCATACGAATGATTGGCATATGATTGGGTAGCTCAAGTGACTGGAGTGTCCCCCGGATGCTATCCAACAACGTTGAGTTATTAGACGCATTATCTGTGGTAACCGTCAAGACGCGGTCTTCAATCCGATGTTTTTGAAGTAATTCCAGCAGAACTGTGCTGAGATAAGATCCTGTATGCGCCCCATGCAGCGGTTCAAAGCCAAGTAATATCTCACGATAGTTCCACTCCTTATCGAGGAAGTAGGCTGTCACTGCCATAAAGGCCTGCCGAAATGGTGAAGTCCAGCAATCTAGTGCAATGGAAAGCTTAGCATCCATAGGAAGCGTCCGAAGAAGAGTTTGTTGTCTCTCTTGAACTAATTCTTGAAGTTGACGGCGGACCATATATGCAGATGGTATTTCCGGAAAGGATGGAGCAAGCCGGGCCATTTCAATAAGGGCGCGAAATTGTGGATGCTCAACAAGCTGGAATGGTAATCGTGAAGCAGTCATGAAAGTGATTATCCTCTCTAACCAATCTTGCTGGGTGAAGGTCCCTTTTTGAGGGGCTGGATTAGCCTGAGCAGATCAAATTATCTTAGTAAAGATTGAGAGAAACAGGAGGCATACATAGTTCAACGTACCCCATTATGTATTAGCCTTCTGATATCCTGCGAACGAGGCCCCAATTTCTGACAATTTACCCCTTGTGAATAGTGTTTATTCATAGAGGATGTCCCACGATGACGGTCCGCAGGATGGCTAAGGATATGACCACATGTTTTACACATAACCTTCGGAGATCCATCTTCAATAGTAGCTACCTGGTGAAAATGCTCCCAACATTCTGCCTGGTGCTTACTGTCGAAGATATTCCGTTTCGTCTGACTTCCATACTCTGTCTGTAACCACCATGTAACGAATTCGTCATTTACCATCTCTGTCCAGAGGAGGTAGGTCTTCTTCTTTCGAGGACCGACGTGCTCGAGTGTCTCGGGGATGGGGGGCGGAAGCGCTGGCCGGGCGAACCCAACGCTAGGCGTAGAACCCGGCGTTTGCTGCCCATATAAAGTAGCAGGATTGAAAGGCTGTAAACTATCAGATGAAAGAAACGTGAGGTTATCAACAGGATTGTCCTCGAAAATCGATCAAGGATAGTTGTCAGAAAACTGAGAGTTCTGGCTCTGTGACATATTTCCTTATATGGCACGGATTAGAAAGGGAGAATATGTAGAACAGATCTGCAGGAAGTTTCCACGTTATAAATAAGAGAACTAAATGAGTTCCAGGGGAATCGGGCATCAGCGTAACTAGAAAAAGCTAACTACGGATGTACCCATTTCCAATCCTTGTTGTGATTGGGTAGCTAGCCCCACTATATTGAGGTTCCGTGAGGTTCGGACCGCGCCAAACCTTATGGGACCGCGTAGGATCGCGCAAAGAACCTCAGCTACCCGCAAAAAGCACCGCAGGAACCGCATAACCACATCAGGCACCTCCGTTCGCCTAATAGAATGACTCAATTCCCCGACTTTTCGTTAGATTCCTTTACTCTCAGTTGGTACCACATTTCTGTAGCGGATATAGAGAATTTTAGTAGTAAAAAGTAGAAGAAGAATAATAGGTAGTCTCATGGGAGTAGGCTATCAAGAGAGCTTCTAACTTGCCACCGCGGAGGTAAAATTGAAAAAAGACTGGCGAGATGGTGGTATAGTAGTCCGATCAAAATATATATTTCTCACTCCGCACATTACATCAATGGCTACTCCGACCAGAATCAACCACTAAGAGCCTAAAATTTACACAAATGTAGGGGAAATAACAAGTTTCAATGCTGGAGTTTCTATAAAACCAAATTCCATCAAATCTCGTCAGGAATGCTGCTCCATTGCAACACTCAGCCATGTATTGGCCAAAACAGTTTTTAATAACAAAGAAAAATTAAGGTGAGTCATCAATTTATCCATCCGAAAAAGGAAAAACTTGGCAAAATTATGCAATCGCGGCTCCATGAGGTTCGAACCGCGTCAGAACCGCGTAGAACCGCGGTGCGGTGCGGTTATTATATCTTAGAACCGCAGAACCGGAGGTTCTGGTGCGCGGTTCCAGACCTTGGAACCAGAACCGCACCATTTTGAGGTCTAGTCCTCGTTAGAGTTTGAACACCCATTTTCCACTGAGAACTCGCCGGTCTTTGGGGGGGGATCAACAAGCTCCCATTTTTTGTTTTGTTTGAGTGAGTTCACTTCTTCAAGCATTGCTCTTTCCCATTCGAGCCAGCTTGCATCGTTCTTCGCTTGATGCAGAGTCTTTGGCTCAAAAGGTTCTGTTTCCATTGCGGCTACTGTTAAGAATGTTGGGATGATGTTCTCTTCAGGTATATTCATTAACGCAAGCTCTTCCTCGCTGTCACTAAATGTGTTTAGTGTGACGCGCGGAGCGCGAATTTTGAGTTCAGGGTGGTGTTCCAGTGCTTCTTGTCGCACTTAATGAACTGGGCGGTCAATTTGGAGTTCTGGAGATCGTTGCCATTCTCCTGAAACTAGACCTTGTTGAGCGTCGTCTTGTTGCTGGTCGCCGCCGGGTGGTGAGTTATTTCTCTGGATGATGTCTTGTAAATCATCTACAAATGATCCAAAGGTATCATCACTCCGTATAGGCGACAAGGTCCTGTCTCCCTGTACAACAACAGATAGCTGCGAGTCATCGTAACTCGATTGCGACGAGGCTGGTGTCTGCGAGTCCTCGTCACTCGACTGGGTTAGCACTCGCGAATTATCGTTTCTCGATCGAGGCAGTATGTGCGAGATATCGTTTCTCGACTTAGGTAGGGCTCGCTCTGGTGGTACCATTGACAACTGGCGCCCAGAGGCGGGCACGGATGCTCGCCGTATGCCTACCGACGGTTGATATATTAGTCCCACCGTCTTATTCCCCCTGCGGCAGCAGCCGTTGCCCCAGGTGAGCCGTCCCGCTTGGCTCCCACATCTTCTATAGTCTGTGTGGAAGGAGCTGTAAGGACTTCGTGAAATTCAGCGTTTGGGATCCCAACGATTCTTCCGTCTTCCAGCAAGATACGGTAGTTGGTATTTCCCTCATAGCCTAGTAGAATGCATGGCCTGGTTCTTGGCTCTATGAGCTTCTTCCTCTGCTTGGGTGGGATCAAGTATTCCCATTTGGATCCGATCAATCTGAGTCGTGATAGGTCTGGCTTGTCGCGGTACCAGGCTTGGTACGGAGTCATGTTGAGCTTTGATGACGGCGACCGGTTGGAGAGGAAGGCTGCGGTTCGAGCAATTTCTGGCCAGAATTTTGGTGGGCTTCTTTGGATCCCTTGGGCCACCGACATCATCACCTTCGTCATCCGAGGTGGGCCGCCGCTTCAACGGCTTGCGTGCGCCTGTATGTGAATTGCCTGGCTTTGACTTGTGACTCTTTCCGTCTTTCTTTTGATCCCTCGGTCTCGGGTTCTTGCTGAAGCACTCAGAGTCCACATGATAAGGCTTTCGGCAGAGAGAGCAATATGGTACGTTATCGATCTCGATTCGACATGTCGTTCCGTCGGCCGACGGTACGACTTTCTCGTCACCTGGCCCTCGGATTATAGCGAGAGCAGGAAGCGCATGCGCCTCTGTTGGTTGTTTGCTCAATTGCCCCTTCCTATGTTCTTCCTCAATTGCCTTGTTCTCGATATAGTCGAACGTGGGTGCCGCTTTTGTGATGTTACCATTGGCATCTCTTTCGTTAACAAGGTCCCTTTGCCGAAACATATGATCACGGAAATTTCATACTCAGGACCTAATGCGTTCACGAAAAATAATGTTCGCTCAATCTCGGAGCTCACGCAGTCGGGGTGAAGGAGAACTTTCTCAGCATGAATCTTCCTGATCTCGGCTCCGAGGGCTTGAACGCTTCCACATTTCTCTCTTGTGAGGGACATGTACTGTCATTGGAGGTTCACGTAAGTGCCCGTGCCTTCTGGTTTAAAGTTATCTTTAACTGCCTTTAAGAGTGCCTGGACTCGAGAGATCTCAAAAGCGTTGATCCTCTGTGCCGCATTATGGGTCAGCTTTACCGTGATCATCGCAGAGTAGAACTTTTGGCGATGACTCCATTGCCGCGTTTCTTCTTCTTCTATCGGCGGAGCTGTTCCATCGTCGGCAACGGCGGATATCCGAATGAACTCATTGATCTTCTGATTCCACTTGAATCAGTCACTGGCATTGTCAAGTATTGGAATGCCATTATAGAATGCATTTAATCCAAACTGCTCAAATTTCGCGATGTCAGTCATTGTGTAGGTGGACGCTCCTCTGAGCTGAAGAATTCTGCGCTGGAGATGTCGTCGGATAAACTGGAGGTAACTGCGGAACCACGATGTGATGAGTTGAGAGAACGCGTCTCTAAGCCAAAGAGATCTAGACTTGATGCGACACTAGGCGGCTCGAGACGACGGAAAGGCTACGATCCGATGGGTTTGGCGTAGGTGTGTGAGACAACGGGACGTAGTCTCTGTCTAACCGCCTGTGCAGGTTCAGGTGGTACCTGGTACGACTTGGAGAAGTGAGGAAAACGGCGCCGGTCAACTAGATATCGCGGTTTCCTTTGCAGGAAGGTTGTAGCGATTTTTATTGCTGCTTTGGCCTACTGATTCGTCTCCAGTTGCAGAACTCGGCGAGGTTAAGATCGAGGTCTCAGTGCTACGTTTCGCCTGGGAGAGTGGACAAGAAATAGGACGATGAAGATAACTTGGTCCCTGTTCAAGACCAGGACGCGTAGATTGAGTGTTGGGGGAACTGCGAGAGTCTCTTGTAATGTTGTGAGGGATGGTAATTGGAGCAGTGACCGCTGATGCTCGGCGTACGCGGTCTTCAGTGGACAGGCGCCAGTAGGCTCCTAAGAGTGCACTTGGTGAAAGTGAAGGGAAGTATGACTTCTGGAGTTGTGTAAAGCGCCAGTGACGAAGGTGCCGAAGGTACGAAAGAAGATTCAGCTCCTCGTCTGTCCAAGAGTGTCTGCTTTGCCGTTTAGTGCTTCTCCTTGGAGGTTGAGATGACCCTTTTTGAGGTCGAGACGGTAACCGCGAGGAAGCAGTTCTTGAGGTCGCTACAGAGGGCGACATTATTTCATATGCTCTAATACTTGATATTGTTGCGATAATGTTGCGTCGAGGGCCAATGAATTAGGGGTTTCAACTCCCTTCCGTCAAAGTGTCGTTTCACTTGACGAATCACAGGGGGCGTCACTGTGATATCTTGCGACGATGTGATATCTGTGATAGTGATAGTGTGATAGTGACAGTGATGGTGTGATGTCTGTGATTATCTAGTGGAGAAAAGTCCATCCACTCCATCTCATCCAGAGGGTTTGAACTCTTGATTTCGTTACCCCTTCGCCATGTTCCTGAATCCATATGGTCAGATCTTGGGGTTGATGAAGTTTTCACTTAATGGGGAAGCTTAGCTGTAGATGGCAGTCAAAGAGTTGTCTGTTTAAATTTCTGTTGCCGAGCTGCGTGCCTAAGGGTTGCGCCACTCGGGCTCATAACCTGTTGAGATAAGTGATTGTCTGATTGATTCTAATTGACTTGAGGAGTTTTCTTTAACAGGGGCGGGATGTCTCATATATATCTGTTCCTAATCCCTGCCATCAGGTTCAGCCACCGTGATACCCAACACAATTCATATAATTCATATTCGCAATTATTCATGAATATTCATGAATAATCTTATTCCTTTCGGAGCCCTAGCGGTCGGTTCGCGCCAGGAAGTATGCTGAACAATCGTTCTATAAGATATTGCCTCTCTGGCATTGTCTATACTGCTCTATGTCTCTTATCTGGTTGTAGCAGCATTCATCTTTCCCCCCTTTGCTTTCTTCTCCTCCCGTTCGCTAAAGCGATCACCGAAAAGACCGATGTGAGGCCGCATCAGAATCGTGTATTTGACAAATTCCTCCATGCAATCCACGAGACGATCTCGATTACCACTAGGCATGAGTCGTTGATCTTCCGGTTGACCTTCATCCGGAAATTGTGTATATGCCCTGGGGATCGAGGATTGATTTGGAATAGTAAACATGCGCATCCACCGACCCAGGATACGCAAAGAGTTAACGGCATTGAACGATTGGGATCCACCGCACACCTGGGCAATGGCCAGCGTTCGGCCTTGGGTGGGACGGACACTTCCTGTGGTCAAAGGAATCCAGTCTATCTGGTTCTTGAATACAGCGGTCTGGGGATAGAACGAGTCAGTAATTACTGTACTGAGTATTAGAACTATCGTGAAAGGTCACTCACTAAGTTGCCGTGTTGTTCAGGCGAGACCCAGACATGTCCATCACTCCACACACTAAGCTCTCGGAGCTCCTGTACTTTAGGATGGTCGGTATCGCTGTCGTTCTTCACCGGAAGACCTTCAGGATCAAAGATGCGCACATCACAGCCGAGCCGGAAAAGGATACGGCAAGCTTCCAATGCCACTAGCCGCGAATATGACCTTCTCCGAAGACTGCCATAAAGTACCAGAACTCTCAACCTCTCGTTCGTAACCTGCAGGTCAAGTTCGGCCATGTCCACTGCAGTGGTCAAGTCTAAGCTGTTGACCCAGTCTTCAGTTGCATCGTCGCTAAGGATGAATGGCCGATACTTCTGGCGGATATCTGGGCTATCTTCACTTGGACGTAATGCCAGAGTTCGATATGAGACATCGATTTGGCAGGTGTTCGCAACCACTTGTTGAGGAGCAGCGGAAGACATCCTTGCTGAATATTTGGGGTGCAGCAGAAATGATGAGGTTGCCGGCCTAAATGTCGAGGGCGCTCTTTGTATAAAGCAAGATAGCATAGGTTATACTCGTGAAGGTAGATGGCAAAGGTAACAAAAAAACAAGACAGTTAAAAAATTTGACGAACTGAGAGAGTGGTCAAATACCACTAGGACCATTTGGGACAGGCTTATTCATCGTTCACCCAATTCCCCCTAGTATTTGTACGGTATTCCGGGCACATTCGGAAGTACGGTGTTGTAACACGCCGAAGCTTATTTGTATAGACCCCTGAGATCGTTCAACCGATCTTTAACACCTACAATCAATCACCTGATTCTATTGGACATGTTCAGTACCAGCCAGTACATCAATTCCTCATCCTGACAGAACAATCTATTGCCGGTATCGATGTTCCACTCCGGCAAATTGGTAATCTGAAAGGCGAAGTGCCATGAAAAATAGGCGTCGAGAGCGACCAAGTTTATGAGCCATGCAGCTTGCAGAAACACATTACATTTCAATTACAGTTATAATACAATGCGGATAGTGGCATTTAACCTCCGGACATGCTGCACAAACTCCAGAATTAATTGACCACTGTTGACCACCAAGGTAACGAGTATGATTGTCACGCAATTTTTCACATGCTTGGTTCGAATACCACTCGCAACCTTCGCATGTAGGAGCATAGCAAAGGGCATGACCTCATTAATACCAGAAGGCCATTGGTTCTCCACCATGCATCCGGGGCACTATCAATGTCTCTTTTTCATGCAGTATCTGATAGTCCTCGCTCTGGTGCCCATGCACATGGTAAATTGGGTATGTTCCGACGCCTAGAATTTGCGTGCAGAGCTCTACGGTGAGACAAAATCAATCTCGGCGATGTGCGTACCGCAGCGCTGGACCTGCATTCAGTGCGTTGCGCATTGGGGCCATAAGCAACCTGGCCGCACAGCAATGGGTAGTGTGAAGAATGCGAGCGCTTTGGTGGAGGATAAATGATGAATCCACGAAGAACTGAATTGTCAAGTATACCACAGGCAGGCGAGACGCGTCGAGGCGCTGGGCTGTTGTATGGGAGGGTCAAACAAAATAGGCTGGAGCGGCGGATCCCCATATTTTCTGATGGGCATTGCTAATGCTTCGTTCATACTGGCGCTTGGTTTCCGCTCTTCCCCGGTCACAACAACTGCCTGGTGTGCAGCATTTAGAATCCCTAGTCCAGTGGACTATCCCCGAATGCCCAGATGAATGTCGCCATGGTTACGCAAGCGTGTCACCAGCGTCGCTTTCAACACTGGTGTCATAACAAGACAGTCCGATGAGTGTCCCCACCAATCATTTTTACTGTCTTCGAGAGACTTCCCTTCTCGAGAACTTTCTCCCAGACTTCATGTTGCCAGAAGGTGAGCATGGCTGGGCAGATTTGATTATGACCCTTTAATAAACGCAAAAGGTCCACGAACTCGAGGTATTTTGTGATCCTGGATGCAACAATTTGATAGGAAGCTTCAAAATCGCGGTCGCCAATGGCCTTCTCATACAGCAGGATCGCTGACGGAAGGCAGTCCACGATTGTTGCAAGGGGTTGCTAAACAAAGTCTTCAACGGGCAGCTGTCGTCTCCACGACAGGAGGTTTGGAGACCTGCTCCCAGAACAGCACGCCGCTTTCCTGTAGAGCTTATGTTTTGTGGGCATCCAAGGCAAACACTGTCTCCGGTATGTTAGAATTAGATATGAAGAGCTTATTTATCTGTAGAAGCCTGGTATAAGAGATATGGCATTTCTCATGAATATCCACAAATCCTGACTTTAAATTCGGCATTCACCATTATCATCTTTTGACGCCATCATTCTTTGCTCCCCGTTTCGACTTTCTGGGGTGGTTTCTGTTACGATTACCTTCGTAATCATGCAGTATCTCCCTGAGAAGGAATCGAAGCAGTCCACCCTCATACGCCTCTTCTTTAGGGAAGAATTTACCCTCACTGATTGTATAGTCTCTTAAATCCTCTTGGCTAGCAAAGCATTCCGCGGGCGCGCCAGCACGCATAGACTCCAGCAGATCAACCAGATTAACGTGGGTGCGTATTACAGCCTAATTTAATGAGCGTCGTATAGAATAACTTGATGAATATATGGGAGTCATACCTGTCGGGCTTCAAGAAGACTTTCCGGAACAGGGGATATTCCTATGCAGCGACAGATGCGTTTCCATGATTTTAAGCTGTCGGCATCTGCCCCAAACGTTGAGTTGAAGGCTTGTACGATGGAAATGCGAAACAATCCCCAAGCTTCTTCACGCTCGACTGGGAATTTACCATTCGACTGCCTGCGCCATTCAAACATGTCGCACATGCGATAGAACTCAGCATGTACAGGCTTTTCTCTCTGGTAGGGAAACACGGTGTACTGTGCAAAGAACTGATCAATCTCATCTAGTTCAAGTTGCTGCCGATTTGGCATCGTAGCTAGAGGATTTGAATATCGAGATATTGGGTAGGCAAATGGAATATCAAAATCATCAAGATATGATGGGTAGCAGCTGCCTCTATGAATTTGGTGAGACGGTGATTAAATTTCTCTTCTTGTCCGAATCGTGAGTGTTTTAAATTTCAACCTAGCTACTTTTACTTTTGGAGGACGTATAGAAGGCAATGGTTGCCACTGGAACGATGGGAAGAGATGGCCTCCCGCATTGACGGCCTCCCGCATTGACGGCCTCCCGCATTGACAGCCTCCTGCATTGACGGCCTCCCAATGGGTGATCCTTATTGTCCTCGGTTAGCACCTCGCGTCCTCCCAATACTAGAACTCCGAAAGATCCGACGAATGGTGTTGTTTTGTCTTGCTTGTGGCAGGTGAGCGATACCTTCGCAGACGACCAGATGGATAGTCTAAGTCTGTGTGCAAGGAGAAGGTGAGGCAAATGCCCCGTCATTTCGAGCCTACGGATTAACAATGGCTATATCAGCTACGCACTAGGAAAGAGACTGTCTGGTCCTAAGTCACAGCCGAGCGAATTAAAAACCCACGAGCTACGAATCGCCGTCCGATACCGTCTCACCTAATCCTACTCCGCGTTGTTGAGCCGTGCGACGTATTCGAGCGGGCGAAGACGAACGAGCGAAATCGAACCAATTGACCTTGCACGACGCTGCATCAAGGGCGCTGTCAGAAATGGTGTGGTGTCTTTGGACAGATTTTGGTATACTTGATGCCTAGGCGCGCTTTTCTATCCAAGTCGGAGCAACACGTGCAAAGACCACTCACCCTGGAAGTCACTGCAGCTGCAGATTAGTCAAGCTGACCACTTGTGCTCTTTGCATCAATGACCATCAACGACCGTCAACACTCATTAACATATCCGCGACGCACCAAAACACCCACGTCTCTGTTCGCTCTACGCCCTGATGGCCGATGCATCCTATTGCGGCGGAAGTAATAACAGACCGCAAAGTAGAAGGCATGATTGTAAGTGCATCTGTACTGGTCTGTGCGGCCAATCAACTTCGGCCACCGCATGAAACATAGATACCCAAGCTAGATCTGGAAGGAGCAGATGTAAATTAATAGTCGAGGACCGTGTGCGCTGGCTGCTAGACAAAGCCACATGGATGATTTGATCGACGAGGTTGGATTGATGGCAGTTCGCTTTGCTATGAGATTCACGCTATTACACTAGCCCGTGGTGGATATAATTCTGCGTCACCCAATTTAGCTCGCAGGTCTCGACCCAGTTTCTCCATAAATGAGGATACTTAGGACTAACTAGGAAGATCTTGGCATATTTATCTATTTTGACGCATAAAGTTGGATCGAAGGTCACCTAGATAGGTTAGTATTGAATGTTACACTACTATGACTTCATCAATCCCGTAGGCTACTCAGCTGGCAAGACGTTGGCTTGGCTGAATGCGCTGTCAGCAGCTACATGGCCACAACTAGCGGTGAGCGACAAAGGGGTGTCTTGGCAGCTAATTGAGCCATACGTGCTTCTCCGTTCATTCTTCATTCTTGGTTGTCGTCACCCACACGTAGATCCCATGTATCATAAAATTTCACGGAGAATGCTTCGTGTACATATACTCGCTGGCACCCGCCTAGATGGTGTGAAGCGCATTGCTCCCACTCAAGCCAATCGGCCATGGAACCCCGATTCTTTGGGCAAAGTGAGAGTGGGGATTGGATGCTGGGGGTACCTTGGGATATTTGTTTCGGCTTCCCGACTTCTACTACGGATAATAATTTGGTCCTTGAAATGGAACCGGAGATAACACTCCTTTGCAACCCTGAGGACGACAGTATCTTCCCGTCACCTGGAACTCACGCAAACCCAATGGAAATTGCCAGCTTCGACGAGCATGTCAGTTCATCCACAACGGACCTTGAACCTATTTCAGATCTAGATTTGCTCGACCACGACCAGTCTCTATAGAGTGCTGGGTCGAGCTCAATCCCGATTGATATAGGTGAAATGTGCGACTATCCGATGGCCGCTTCAGAGGCTCTGAGCTCATTGGCTATAAACACCAAGCAAGACTCGGGATCTCCCAAAAGCGTTTCAAAATCGGAATGGCGATTTGAAGAAGCAGAAATGCCTTCAATCAGTATGACGGATGTTGCTTCGGACGGGCTGTATTACTGCCAGCGGGAAACGTGTCGCGATCGGAAGGGTTTCCAGCAGAAGGGAGTTTTTCGGTGAGGCTTCCGTACTGGAATAAAAGATCTTTTCTAATTTATTTTAGAAAGCACTTGCGATGGCATGAGAAAGCTATCAAATGTCCTATGTGTCATTACGCTGCTGCAGAACAAGCGGACATGCGCCGACACGTCGAGCATGCCCATAAAGCGTGGGCTAGGCGACACTGGAATGTGGAAGAGCAGTTCTCTTGTCAGATGTGCGCTGTCTCATTTACACGCAAGGACAATTTTCGACGACACTGCAGGAACAAGCATGCAGGTGAATTGAGAAGATAGAAACTTTGATTTTTGTTGTCCTCTAGTCGAGTTTTCGATCAAATTAGATGGATGTAGAGACTGTACATGGGATTGAGCATCACAAATTGATACCCATGGGAGGCTTTGTAATTGAACTAACGAATTAAATGTAAATGGACACGCCACCATCGTCCGAATCAAGTTCCTGATCTAGCCCCACCTCGCTCTCGGGCTCTGAACTATTCAAGGGATCTGCAACAGATTCACTGTATGCATTTTCGCAAATGTTTTGCTCTTCATGAAAATTGAAGTTACTCACAGAGCGCAGCTCCGTGATGCAAGTTCTAGAGTCTGGATGCCAGCGACTTGCTTGTGAGCGCCGCAAGACTTGGTCAATGATCTGGTCACGGAGCTCTTGCGTTATCTTGCTCATAATCTGCTTTTGCTCTCGAGCTGTCATATCGTTCTTGGTAAAAGTCTTCACGACCGGAGGGCTCCATCTTGTCCAGACTTTCCGGTGTGATGAAGGCAGCACCATGCGCGCTGGATGATGTTTGAAGTATAGCTCACAGCAGAGGCAAGTGGGCTTGCTGCAAGCAACAAATCGATCGTCTTCCGCAAAAGAGAGCCGTCTCTGGTAAAAGTGCTCCAAGACTTGAACTTCAGCATGAACCTGAGGGTAAGGTTGCTCATATTGTTCCACGAAATGCTCAAAGATTACAGAAAAAGAAGTTCTGTTCAAGTAGAGGAGACCGTCCTCGACAATTTTCTTTTCCTCTCCGGCCGTTTTGTACATACGATTCAGAATTCCTCGGAGGTTTGTATGTGAATCTCGTACTGGTGCTGGTACACTTGGAAATGGATCAACGCTACAAACGTCATATGTTTGTAACAGGTGTCCCAAATATAAGGAATCATCGACAAGCTCTTTTGGTGCCCGTATGTGATGGGCAAGCCTCAAAATGTGATGTCGGACTAAGGCAAAACATGACCGCCTGCCTGCAGGGTCTAATTTGCTCTCTTCCTGCAGTGCCAGTGCTGCAAGCTGGTCGATATACACTGAATTGCGGTTCTTATACGCAAAGTTGCAAAGCTCGATGTTGTGACTGTGATTAACGGCTATTTGCAACCAGTTGACCAGTTCCTGGGCTAGGCGTTTCTCAGCTGCAGACCAAAGGCAATGTTTACGGAAGTTCTATGCTCACCAGCTTTCAAGGGTTTTTTTGTGAGTCTTGGAATGCAGTTTATCGCCTCTCTTTGGAAGTTTTTGTGCTCCAGGTTGATACGAGAAGTTGCAAAGTCTGCGCAAAGCTGAATAAATGCTGACTCTGTGGTTGCTAGATCCGAGGCAGGCTGGCTGTTCGCGGTGCGCAAAACACTGAGAGTTATGTTGAGAAAATAAACTATCTTTTCGATCTCCCTGTTTGAAGCAACCCAAAACAGGTAGCGAGTTTGGCAATTTTCCAAGCCGATTGCGGTGCAAGAATCCCCACCTTTCTTAAAATCACACACATAAGCAAGATTCTGTAAGAATCTTCTTCTCCTTTCCATGGGAGCATCGAAATTCATGGGCCGGGGTGTATGTTCGCCTCGCGTTTGTCCGAGTGCCCTCAAAAGAAATAACGGCTCGTAGAACCGGGCTAGCATTCTTCGGTAAGGATCAAGTCTTGGGGGGCCAATGCCAATGGGGGCAATCTCTAAGTAGCTTTTCTCTTTCATATCGGTGATTTCAGCTCTGAAGTGTTGCTTCGGTCTATGATGAGAGGGAACTAAGAAGACTTATTTATGAATCCTAGGCACAAAGCCGGTCCTGATGTCGCGCTTGGAGATTTTGAGGGACAAGATTCATTGCAGACAAGCTGCGGAGGCTGTCAATGCGGGAGGCTGCCAATGCGGGAGGCTGCCAATGCGGGAGGCTGCCAATGCGGGAGGCCATCTACGAGAGACACGATCACTAGTAGACTTACTGGGGTAGTCCTGGCCGGCTGGCTCGGCCTCTTGATATTAGCCCAACTTCTTGGACAAAAGTCCAAAAATCCCCGGCTCAGGTAAGTCTGCCATTCACGTGCCTCATTTCATTGGTCATTGCCAGTCAACCATCTCAGGATCTCGCGATCGTGAATGAGTACACCGCCTTGGTCATGTATTCGACACCCACTTACCATTGCATATGAGGAGAACAGGCGAGTGAATCCACAACCCGGGAGTATAAATAGAGCTGGAAGTCAGGGGATCGAATTTTGTCTGCAAATTACAGTCCGAAAATGTCTGCATCAACGTGCAAAGAGCACCAAACAGGTACGTCACTACAGGCTCATGTTGCCTCACATTGTCACCAATTTTCTGTCTCTCGCTGTCTTTGCTGGAACTGAATTTTATGCTCATAGATTCAAGACTGGCATATCATTTGAGCTTGTTGAAACTTGACAGCTCCAATGACCAGAGCGAAAAAGCCTGTCTTGCACCCATTTTCACAGGGTTCGTTCTGAGACAGCCCGAACTAGCTCCATCGCAGTATGGTCTACTTGGAGGTGTCAAAAATATCGAGACGTCCGGTTTTGCAAGTGCGGACAACCGATTCATTGAAAAAGATCCGAGGCTATTTTTTAACGTTTCCTCGCCATCCAGCACTTTCATTTGTGGCTCTCAGGGCTCGGGAAAAAGTCATACTCTATCTTGCATACTAGAAGGATGCTTAATCCCTTCTCAAGCGGGTAGACTTTTAAATCCCCTGACAGCTGTTATTTTTCACTACGATACTTTCATCTGCGACAATGGCGGTTCGCCCTGTGAGGCCGCATTCCTCGCATCCCACTCGAATATCAGAGTGAGGGTGCTTTGTGCTCCGACCAACCTTCTCACTATACAGGTAATATGGAATATCTCCGATTTCCTTCATCTGGCTAATGGGCCTGCAGAGAACCTATTCGAGATTCAACATCAAGGTAGAGCCTTTGCAGATAGACCAAGCTAATCTGAGCACTAAGCGTATGCTGGATCTTATGGCAGTCGGCCAAGACTCGGGGCCCGTTCCTCTGTACGTCCATACAGTTCAGCGGATCTTGCGGGAAATGCGCCTTTTACAACAAATGGCAGGATCCCAATTTGACTACAAGGACTTCAAGAAAAGAATTCTTAGTACTGGTCTTCTTCCAGGTCAGCTCGAACCTTTGAGGCAACGATTAGATACGCTTGAGAGTTTCATGGCTCCGCAGCAGACAGCCCCGAACAACCAAGCACGTGGAAAGAAGGCGAAATCCCAAGGAGCAGGCTCCAACTGGACACCGAAGGTAATACAGGTACATTAAATCCCCGAATTACTTTCAGGGCCTAATCGACGATCTAGGCCTCGCAATTGACAATTGTTGACCTCTCCTGTCCTTGTATCTCTCCTGATACCGCTTGCTCACTTTTCAACGTTTGCTTTGGAATCTTCATGGAGCAGGATACCAAGATTGGCAGAATAGTGGCCCTTGACGAAGCTCATAAGGTTTGTGTTCTACACGCACTTGGCTTGGTTATCGCTGCTGACTATTTCAAGTACATGAAAGATTCGGTTGAAGCTGGAAACTTTACAGATAACCTTCTCTCCACTGTTCGGTTACAGCGTCACCTCGGGGCCCGTATCTTGATTTCGACCCAAGAACCAACGATTTCAAGTGACCTTCTCAGTCTGTGCTCGGTCACTATTGTCCATAGATTTTCCTCCCCGGCGTGGATACGCGCACTACAGGGCCATGTGGCTGGAGCCGCTTTGGGTTTACAGTTGAATCAAGAGAAGTCGGCCTCTGATGATGACCACCCGGGAAATGTTGAGATTTCTAGAAAGTTCTCATTGTTTCATAGAATCGTTCATCTCCAGGTGGGCGAGGCTTTACTCTTTTCACTGGGTGCCGTTTCTGGCACTGCTTCAGAAGGCTTGCAGGGGCTGAGGAATCTGGGCTCAGGGTACATGGTAATCAAGATTAGAGACAGACTGACGGAGGATGGTGGAAAAAGCGTTCTATCTTCTTGAATACAGCGAGAATCCGCGATTTGGGCATCAAAGGTCGTCACTTTCCAGAAATGTAGGGTAATGTGACATTCATCTTTCAATAATATGGATCCACTCTTTAAGCCACGGTTATCTCCAGGGTGCAACCCATAGTTATTGAAAAGAGACAAATTCTGTTCTAATTTGACTGCGTTGATTGACTATTCTTATGATCTTGAAATCCAATAATTTCCTCGCGGCAACGATTTTCTTTCTCTACTGTGAGAATTTGGATAGGGCTAAAATGATGCTTTCTGAATATTCAGTGAAGATCCTTGATATAAAAATTTACCATTCTTCTATTATCCCTCCTTGCTATTAGTTCCCGTTCATTGACATTGTCATTCCATCAATCGCCACGTCACGTTATTTCTTGAGGCTCTCGAATCAATAATACTTTGAGTTGGGGGGAAGGCCCTGTCTCTGGTCTTCACTCTGAAGGGTATGTTTATTAGTGAATAATGTTCGAGGGAAAAGAAGCTAGACAAACCAAAAGGGTTCCAAATCTCTCGACAAGTTTAATTTCATATTCGCAGTATGCCTTCTCAAGTGGACCCACACTGCTGAAAGTTGTCGCAACATCGAAACCAATCCATACGATCCTGTCACCAGACACAACAAGCATATTTTTTGGGTAGATATCACGGTGGTGGACAAAGGCGCTATGGATCTCTCGTTTGCCATTAACCGCATAGCGAACGAGATCTTGGGAATGATTCGAACAGTCTAGTTTTTCTGCATGGGGCAGGTAATCGAGCAGAGTGGCCCTGGGCTGAAATTTGTCGTTGACAAAATTTTCAAGTGGTGGGTGAAATGCAGACGGATCAATTCGATCGATATAGCCGTAAAATGCGGGAACGATGCCACGGTCGCACACACCGAATTCATAGAGATGATGTTAGGCGTTCAATTCGCAGCGAAAACGATTTAAGTCCCGACCTTTCCTCGTGTACCCTGGGTCGCCATTATCATGGAACTGACACGTCAGCATTGATCTTGGAAGTCGAAAAGATCAACCATACCTACAAGCTTCATAACGCACGTTTTCTCACATAGCTGTATTTCGTAAATTGTAGAAACTTCTAAACAATGTAGTCCCCTCTTTAGCACAAGATCAGTGGGCCATAGGTCCAAAGCGCAAGCAAATTGCGAATTCATGGTCGCTGCGAGGTCTATAGGCTACAGGGAGGCCAGACAGCCCACCTACTTTGAATATGAAGGAGGTATGGTGATGTGACCTTGTTGTACTGGGTTTGAAATGGTCGTGGCAATACGCTTGCCACACCTGTATCTCTCGAGCTAATTGGATCTCGATCTCCATGGATTACAGAGATTACCATTGCGGTAAAGATCTCGGGTTGATCGTTCCAATACCAACAAATCTGTCTATGCTCATGCGTTTTACGGCCTCTGCGAGTAGGAATCGACCATGTGAGCTTGAATTATACATTTCTGTGCGGTCTAGTGTCTTGTGTAGAGGGATAGATGAACCTATATATACAACAATGAGCCAAATTGATTTTAAGATCGACTTGGTCGTCCATATAGGCACCTCGGAGTTAATTCCGACGGTGCGGCTTGGTTCCTGATCTGCACCAGCTTCATATCACAACAATCGCGTCCTCTGCTGCGCAATATCATTTCTCGGAGAGTTTTCGTGCTCCAAAACACAAACAACATTACTGATTTTCATGCCATTGTACATAGGAGCAGTCCACTGCCACTGTGAAACATCCATGTTGGGAGTCCTATCGCCGGATCGCAGTTAAGACTAAGGTCGCACTACGACGCGTGCTCATCGCGTCTTGCGCCTCGACCTCACCGCCTCCACACCACGAACGGCGGCGTGCATGAACCTCTCGCCGTCCCATCGCGAGGCCTTATCCCATTATGACTGTACATTTTCCTGTCACAGGTGGTTCGTCACGCGCCTTTGGCTCTCAAAAGTTGCCCGGTGCACCCAGCGCGGCTTATTCGAAGCGACAGCCGGAGAGTGCGACGAACTGGATACAACATCATGTCAAATGGCATGAATGGTGACTGCTTTGATGAAGACAGTTGTAAGTGATCTCGTCGGTAAGATATGACCACAAGCTAATTGATCGTTTCGTCTCAAGCGAACATGCTGCAAATTCTATGAACAGGTAGGTCATAACAACTCGTCCAAGTGGTAAGCCTAGCTGACTCGTATCGTACAACAGGACGCCCTCATTTTCTCTGCTCGAGCTCCCCTCTTCCGATGCGATTGTATGCTGTCTATCATTTCCACATAACTACTGGTTGCATCGATGATGAGCCAATGTAAGGTCCAGATCGTCTCGGCCCTTCTCTCAGTCGACTCTATGCATCAGTCATGTGCGATGTGTCTACCGATACAAAGTCCAAGGCACAATGGGCTTATACCCCCGTGCGTCTCGGTATGCGAAAGAACAGGTTCTTGTGGATTGACATTCTGGCGTCCATTGGGTGATCCTCATTGTCCTCGGTTGGCGTCTCGCGTGCTTTTAGTCCTGGAACTCTGAAAGACCCGAGGAATGCTGGTGTTTTGTCTTGCTTCAGGCAGGTTAGCCATGCCTTCGCAGATGGCTAGATTATTAGTCCAAGTCTTCGTGCAAGGAGAAGGTGAGGCAAATGCCCCATTATGTCGTGCCCACAGGTTAACATTTGCTATATCAGTGGCGAGCAGAGAAAGGAGACCATCTGGTCCCGAGTTCTAGCCGAGCCAACTATAGAGCCGCATGTTAAGAATCTCCGGCCTACAGTCGTACCTAATCCTACTCCGCGTTGCTGAGCCGGTAGACATATTCGAGCGGGTAAAATCTAACGAACGGAAACGAATAAGCAAGAAAGAAGCAACCGGACATACGTGACGCTGCAACAAGGGCGCTGTGAGAAATGTTGTGCTGTGTTTGGACAGATTTTTGGTAGATTTGACGGGTAAGTACGCTTTTTCTACCCAAACCCGAGCAACATGTGCAAAAAAAATTTATCCGAGATTCTCCATCTTCTGGTCAGCCAAGTCGAGCGTTTGTATCGTTTTCTCACTGAAAACGTCTTCTAACATATCGCGCGCAAGCAGCCCTTGACCGGAAAGACCGAGTCCTCTACATCCCATTCCTTGAGCACCACTGGCGAGGATATATCTCCATGAGGATTCGCCTTGATCAACGAGGGATGGCATGTCTTTATAAGACTCCCAAATCAACAGGCGCTTGATCTCTAAATCTTGGTCTGGCTTTGATTGTATTCGTTTAGCGACAGAGCATGGCTGATCGCATGAACTTGAGCACGCACGCTTTAAGCGAGGCATTGGCTATTTTTCTGATCGCCGTAGCACAAACTTAATTACGGGAGATTGGCTGAGAATATACATTCATAATTTTTGCACGTAAGTTTATTCACAAGGTTGGGATGGGTTTCTCTTTCGGCGAGTCTGCTCTTTGTACACTGCCGATGATAGGTCAGGTTGCTTCCGTATAATTCACTTGAAGTTTCATTGCTCGGCAGATGGAAAATAATGCTGTCTGAAAATTCGAGAAACATAAAGTGGCAATCATTGTTAGGAGATATTCCAAGCTCAGATCGTATTGTTTGCTGTCATTCAATTTGTTCGCTACTCGACAGTCGATTTCGCTTAGTATCCTCGGCGGAGGATCCTTATGTCAACCCGGACAACCAGATTTTGAGGTGTACACTTCCCCTTAAGCTTCGAGGGCAGCGAAAGGGATTCGGAATTCTTCATTTGCGACCTGCGTTGTAGAAAAGTAGGATTTATCGAACAAAAAGGGAAATATTGGACACCTCGGTGGCTTGAGACGGAGTTGCGTGGTCTTCGTTCGATGATCTCTATCGGATTTCCTGAAAGTGGGCACAGGGCAAAATTGCTTGTTGTATGTGGAGGGCGAAGAAACAGGCCAATCTCTACAGCTGCAAGAAGATTGCGGACTTGATAGGCACTTCTCGGAATGTCGACCTCATCGGTCTTATCATAGTCATGGTTGTTAACGGCGAAGAATCTTTCGTTCCGTTTATACAAGTGTTTGACAACATCGTGAGCAAGGAAGATGCCTTGTTCGCATAGCCCACGTCGTCGAAAAGGGTGTACGCATTGATAACAGAGATGCGCATGGAATTGATAGGTTTCCACCACGTAGTGCTCATCTCCATGGAGAATGCGCACATTATGAACAGAATTGGAAGGGCTAGGGACCCGGGTAAGTGTCGGCATTGCGACAAAGAATATCATTGTCAAAAGGTAAGTTCGACCGACATGGGATGGCTGCATTTATAAGACCTGGCTCATGTGCAAACTGAAAAACAATACACTACGATAGCTAGATGATTGGGCTAAGCTGGGGCTCGATGCGCCAAGTCACTGATTTCCGTAAAAATTGAATATACAATCGCTAGCCAGCCTAAGGAACTTGTTTAGCTTTGATCACAATGTATGGTATAGAGTCTGTGAGGCTGAATTGTTTCATTAATTAAGTATGATGGTGGGTCGCGAGTGGATGTAATCTGCCTCGTTCGTGCATCCAGTGGGGGCGCTTGATGCTGCAAGTCATAGCACTTGTTTCGAATGCGCGAGCAGATCTATTCTAGGTACCGAGGTCAATTTTTGATAAGATTGGAACCCATGCTCCATTATTGACCAACCAATAGACGCTGTTGTTTGTAGGGACGTTTGGGATTCAATGGCTAGTCTCGCAATTCATCCTCACGAAAAATGACTCTTCTTGGCTAATACTTTAGTCGTTGGCCGCGAACAGGAAATTGTTCAAAATTCTTATGGGCGACCCAACATACGATGGCTCTACTGCAGCGCTAGAAATCGCATAAGATTATTTTCGCTTGGTTGTTGTTGCCTGGCTACGTAGCAGAAGTAAAAGACGAGTTAGGGAAACGGCTCGAAAGGAATGGGCAATGGAAATCTGGGCGATAAATATTGCCAAGGTGGCAATGCTTCTTGACACAAAGCCTTCGCAGACTTTGACCTAATCTGACGAACTGCTCTTGCCGTAGTCCTAACGCAAATAGAGTGGTTCGATTCGGGGGTTCAAGCGGATCTGTGAGGTCAGCTCGGTTCGGCGCGACCCACCGAAGGTCCCTTTGCCTTTTAATACCTGTCGGGCAGTCGGATACTGGTATGTGCTAGTATTGAAGGATCCCACTGGGGTTCATTGATGTTGTTCTGGTTGGATCTCACTGTTGAAGCGTTGTCCGATTTCAGGAGCCGTTCCAAGCGTGTTACTGCACCGCTGGTAACCTGAGTATACCCCGTTTAAGTTACCATACAAAGACAAAGAGAGAATGGGTACTCGATAAACAAGAACAACCCGTCCTGAGTGGTTAAAATACCACCCTTAGTTCGACAAAACCACAAAATTAAAAAAGGTCTCCACTGTCTTACGAGAGCGAAAATAGTAGCAAACGATAAAGACTGATGTATTTCTCAAAGGAGACGCGCTCCTTGGCGTGTCTCCACAAGTTGGGCGCCAAAACTTGGGCTCTGGCAGCAAGGGGGTCTGAGCGCGATCTCCTGTGCTAAAAACTCACACGCGCGAGGGGATCAACCGTTAGCGCTTTCGCCGCAATGCGTCATTGCATTAGCGGCTTCTCGGTACCATGGAACATAAAGAATGCCCGGATTGCGAAATTTTGTGGGCCGCGGGCGGCAGATTAGTGGTCCGAAACCTCCCATGCTGACTGAATCCCCTGAATGATCGTTTCAAATTAAAATCTCATGCCTTGGGCTTGTGATACTGCGACATCTATGGAGCAAGTTGCGGCTGAGCCTGTCGCAGGGTGTAATTATGACATCAATGCAACAGACCACCGTGGCAACACACCTCTGGCATTGGCGGCGAGACACGGTAATCTTCCACTAGCGAAGCAAATTTTGGGATACCACGGCCTGGAGGTGGATTTAAAGAATATTCATGGAAGGACTCCTCTTGCCCGAGCAGCAGCATGGGGCCATGCCGCTATTGTGCGCCTGCTTCTCAAACACAGCAGGGTGGATGTGAATTCCAAGACCACTATGGAAACACGCCACTGGCACTCGCCGCTGAGGAAGGGTACGAACCCGTGGTAAACGCCCTACTAAAGCGAGAAGAAGTCCAAGCCGACTCGAGAAATGCCTTCAATGCCACACCGTTAGCGTTGGCAGCTGAACGAGGACATCAAAGAGTGGTGGTCTGCCTGCTCCAGCGCCATGACGTGGAGGCCGACTCGATTGACAAGGAGGGCTGTACACCTCTCTCGCGGGCCGCGGCGATGGGATTTGAGAACATAGTCCGCATACTTCTCGGCCAATCAGGCGTGGAAATCAATTCGAAGGACAAAGACGGATATACGCCTCCGGCATGGGCGGCGCGAAGAGGCCAGAGCGCGGTTGTCCAAGTGCTGGTCGAACAAGATGAATTGGATATAGATTCGAGAGATGATGATGGATATACAGCTGTTATGCTAGCAATGGATGAAGGGCACGGGGAAGTCGTACAAATGCTCACTCAATCAGTCGAGGCTGGATGAGGATGTTGTGAGATGATATCAAGTACCAAGTCGCATCTTCTGAGAGTGGCTATGATGACCGGAATATTTGAGGATGGGAGACATCAGCGTGTGTATTATGCTTCCTGTACCATTCAGCATCTTTCCAAATGGCGCCATCTGCCTGTCACACGCCGCCAAAGTAACAGAAACGGGCGTTTGAGTACTTGTAAACTCATGTGCCATATAAAACAATACATCTCCCGAGGAGGAGCTCCTGGTTGTAATCCGCGAAACCTGATCTTCGCCGCCGTGAATGTGCAGGATCAAGCACTAATTGGTCTTTTTTTCTCTCTCTAGATGAGATTAGTTTACGAACAATATCGGGGAGTCTAAAATGAGGCTCTATCGCTCTAGGATAGAAGCAAAGTAATCTATCGAGGACCCAAGAAATGCATCGAAAGAGACCCCTTAACCCTACAACAATTAGTAGGAAACTGGTTAGCGATACAACCCATTACCTACAAACGCTATCCGACCGCATCTTGATCTCTGACGCCGTATCCTCCAGGAACTGGGACACGACGCATCTCGCCACGCAACCGCTACAGAGCAGGTACGAAGTTATGATCGTGAGGCAAGAGATGGAAACAGACGCTGTGTCCGAATCTACTTTCCTACCGACACAGCCAGAAGAGAAGTGCCGGAAGTGAGCTGCTACAGATGAGGAGCAGCTGTATGATTGAGGCATTTTCTGTTCTTATAACCTTACTGTCTATATTTTGATAGCATGATTTGTCCTGGAAAATTGACGAGCAAATATCGTGACGAAGTAACCTTTATCTCTCCGGGCCGCCAGTTGTGAGACGCCCTGTTTTTGAGATGCGGAGCATGAATGTCGACGTTGCTTTTGTGGGAGGTTTGAGGAGTCGGCTACTCTCTTTCTCGCGTTCATTGGGGGCAAGTCTTGATTTTCAGCCTTTATGGCGCTTGGAGGCATCATATAGTCCCTCGAGATAGGAACAGAGGTAGCTACCTCTGTAGCTACCAATCCAGTGGACTGGTCAACAGATGGCTTTAGAGCCTGGCTTGTGTGGCCGCGATTCCCGTGGACAAACTGGCCAACGACCCGACGGAAGATTTCAGCCGATTCATTGCCTCCATGAGATAGATTGTCAGCCGATCGATTCCCCAGAAGAGACCTAAAAAAACAATACCGGTTTGCCATGTAAGCTCATTGTGCTCTTCTGTGTCTGGAGTATTGGACCTCTTTGATACCTGTGTTATGATTACCTGGTCTTTCTAGTGATGGTACTGCACTGGCAAGTTATTGGAGCATAAGAAGCTATAATGGTATCTACCATGAGGCAGTAATGAGCTTCTAAATGTTTGATGTCTACCATGAAAGATGTACCCACTATCAAGGCCTCGCGGGTCACCAATATCAGCGCCGGCTCCGAGGAGGACTGCAGATGTTGATTTGTTGCCTTAATCACGGTACGTAGATCAATGCTATGAGCGAATGAACGATGTTGCAATCCACTTGCCGTATCCACGTGGTGCCCGAACCACCAATAAATTTGAAGCTCATTCCAAGGAGCAACCTGGCTGCCATATTGGAGCTGGTCATGAATAGAAACATGCGGAAGGGAGTTGTACTTTCGATATCTCGGAGGTTACCATTGCGTCATGATTTAGACTCGCAAAAAGTCAAAGTAAAAAGACGACCGGCGGAGCACTGTTTGTGCTTTCAGGAGTACTGGAGCTTTTTGGTATCCTCGGTAATACTCCGCTAGCAGCGCGCTGGTATGATGCCACCCGTAGGATGTTTTCAGATCACTGTACTTCCAGCAGCACTGGGCCTTTGAACTCTTCCAAAATAGTTTGGTAGTATCGTGCTGATACATCCGCTGTGTGTTCTCAGATAATCACCTTTGACGATGTACGGGTGGTGAATGGTGTGAGAAAGTTGATATCAACGTTTATATCAACGTTGAACATGAAAACCACTGAACAACAACAGCATATGAGTTTTTCGCCCATAGAAAATATCTACTTGAGCTATATTTGTTACCTGATCACTACATACCAGGACTTTGTTAAATTTCCTGGTTCAAAATTAATTCTCGATCGGCCGCGTTGGTTCATCGAACAGTGAGGGTTGCCCTGTGGTGGGAAGCAGATCCTAAGCTAACTGGCAAAAATTACAGTAAGCTAAGCAGAAACGAAAGAAAATAGTATCTGTCTTCCTGTGGAAGTGTTCGGAAGTTTGCCAATCAACAGCAAAGAATATGTCCCTCGATGTCAGGGATGCGGTTGCTTGGGTTGTACCACTAGGCTAACAGGCCAAAAAGGCACAATCTTTGGTCAGCGACCAAACACCCAAGCTTCTATGTATGCTCGGCCTCTGAAACTCGAAGCAAAAACACCAAGGCCAACTCTCTCTGTATCAGACTTTTCCTGCGATCACTATTTGACTTGAAATATGTTATGCACAATCCATCACCCGTCTTGGAGATGATGATAATATACTGGCCCCGTGTCGCAGTACGGTAAACTCTAGGAATACACGGGGTAATTCTTAGAGCTGTTTTACTACCAAGGATCGGAGACGGGATCCGTGGCCGTAGATCTCAAGGATAGAGATAGTGCTTCTACTTGATACATTATTACCTAGAAAACGCCTATAAGGATTGCCACTCTCCAACAAAGTATGAAAAAGGCACTCGCACGGCTCACTATCAGCTGGACCATTTGCTTTTAAGGCAGTATGGGTGATATTGATGTTCTTCATTTTTCTTTTTTTCACCCATTATTTCTTCAGCTATTACTCTGAGCAAAACAAACCTCACTTTCTTGTTATCAATTCAATTGTGTTTACGGACACAAAATGCCTCTTAATACTGGCGGCGCTGTGATTCGAATGCGTCTCGCCATCCTTTTCGTTGCCATCACCTGGCTGGACCTCGCCGGTCTCAGTTCCGCCACTGTACCGTTTGCGGTCGTCCTGCGAGACCGCGCAAAACCTGACCTCGTCACCTTGAGGGACTCTATCTTGGAACATCACATTCTAAAACCTCATGGGAAAACGTTGTTGTGGGCATGGTGGTTGTTGGCCTTGTCTCAGCCCTGTTTTCCATCTTTGGGTTTGTTCTTGCGGTCTACCAGAAGTGGATACAAGAGGACTGCACTACTCGAGTCTACTACAGTTGCATTCAAATCGTTGTGAGCTTGATCATTCTCTCCTTAGGGGGGTTATGTGGCCAGCCACGTCCACGGCTTTCAGACATCCTTCGAGATTTTTTGACAGTGCGAGCCACTTTCCATACTACAAGATTATGCATTATGGAGCCGTTGGCCAGTCCACATTCGGTGTTCTAGGGGCCATTATGTCTCTCCGGCGTCTTGCCTTACATGGCTTACGAGATCACTAGTTGAGTACGCGCACCAAGCTACAAAACAGTCAGAGGCGGTTCCAGCTGCTTCCTAGAGTAGGGCTTGGAAGAACAAGCCAGCGGGGATTACGAATAAAAAGAATCACAGAACTTGATGATGATTTTTCAAGAATGCGGGGGTGGAGCCCAAGAACATTAGAGAAGTGCGACGAGTAGGGTCATGGACTTACGGAGCTGATAAGATAATCTACCAATTCAGTGTCCTGATTGGAACCAAAGCATGCTCATCGATTGATTTGATTAGCCAACCAATCGTAGCCAATATTTGAGCAGTATGCTGAGTGGCTTGATGTAGCAGACAGGTGATGGTTGACGACCTGCTCTGCGCAAATATCCATCAACCTTGGTGGCCGTCAAGATTTCAAAGGCCGACTCGACAATAATGTGAGCTACCCAGGGATCACATAGCCCCAGGAAATCGTACGTAACCTCTAGACTATCCATTTCCACCCTCACAAAATCAGTCACGCCCCTGTTGACAGCTCTAACAGCCCTGGGAATGCACACCTTGGCCCTATGAGCTCTTTTGCTCCCAGTGGATTTAGTGCGGTTTCTGGGGGCAAAAAATCAACTTCTGGGAGCCACGTAGCCCCCAGGAAGCCCGACATAGCTTCTGGGGTCTAGTACTTTCACCTCGGGGAACCAAAGTCATATTCCTGTTGACAGTTTCATCACCTCCTGGAACCTCAACTGCGGTTCCTGGGGCTATGGCCCAGCCTTTCCGGGAGTAATCGAATTAGGCAGATTTGTGCGCAGGCCTGGTGAAGGTGTCTTGTGAGGGCTTTCCGCCACCCCAGAAGGCAGAATAATGACTCTAGGATCCGGAAGTAGGGTCCCAGGAGCGCAACAGTTCCCAGATTTAGCCAATGTGTTCCCAGAGCCAGTTCGTAACCAGTCAGGACCGTATAGTGGAGATCCCAGGGGTAGAACTCAGTTTCCTGGAACCAGGAAATGGCCCCAGGAGCTAAAGACGAGTTTCCAGAGAAAAAAACAGCTCCTATAATCGCTTTTGGCGTTTCCAGGATCAGTGTATTAGTTCTCAGAGTCAGATTAACAATGATTGTGAACTAATATAGATGAGCTGATTTTAATATGTCGTGAGGCAGTATGGAAGAATTGTCGAGACTCGCCAGCCGACCCGCGAGCTGTATTTTCTGCCAAAAAGGTCCGCCTTCGTGCTCCATGGCACTCGGCTTCGAGCTACGACATCTAGAATGAAGCAAACTCCCAATGGGATCTTTAGGCTCATTTTACATCTAGTACTTGCAAACCTGAATTAGTCGCGTAGTGTTCTGAAGAGCTGAACGATCAGGATTTCATTCATTTGGTTGCTCAGCTTGCTCCAAAACTCCATATCTCTCTGTTGCTGGTTCGAATGCCGCGGCCTGGTCACGTCCTGTCACGTATGCCAGACCGCCGCTTCGCCGCTTCGCCACTTTCCCATTCTCTTATCCGTTCGCTGTGAAGGGCGATCAATTACGTTGAGCGGAAGTCACTCGTGCCGACCGGCGAAGCGGTGGGTAGCTTAGAGAGTCTTGCGGTCGATGAGCCCCTCCCAGTCTGGCTGAGCGACGGGCCCACGCTGCTCGACTGGTACCCCTGGGGATTCCACTGGCTGCTGACGCGGCTGACTCTGACTCGGTTCGTTTGGTGCTGAATGCCTGACGGTGACAGGTTCTCTATCGGTTCATGATTCAGTTACCGGGTGGACGGAGTTTGTCTCGGCATCTGCCAAGGGGACTCGGTGGACGAATCAAAACCTCTCTCCGCGTTTCTGTGCGACGGGCCTCCGAAGAACCTACCAACACTCTAAAGAAACGGATGGAGAGCCCACCCGAGCGTCGCAGAAGTTCTCCAGACTGTCGGGACTCCACAACGGTGAAAAAATTAGTAAATCTCCGTCCCAATCTGAAATCGCAATCGCAATCTCGCACCCGTCACCGACTCACCGCACCTTCTCCGTCAACGTCGCCTCACTAGCGGGGCATTTGGCGACGCCAGCGACCAAAACAAATGACCATGGAAATGGGATCAAGTCTGCTCGCGCACGTCGCGATCCTACTACGCACTCTGCCACGAACTTTTCCGGCATCCATGAGTCGTCCATGAGTCGCCTGACCCGCTAGACACGATCTCCCCTGCGCCCTTGGTCGCTCCGAAGCAGCCCACCGTCACGCCTGCAATTGCGGATGATGTCAAGCCCCTTGGTTCGCCTGTACCGCTCAAAACTCATCGCATTGATAATCGCGTCGAGAAGGTGGGAAAGCGCCTTAGAAGCGACTAGGACTGCGGCCATGTCGGGTCACAGGGACGCGATCGACGAAATCGGGGAAACGAGTTCTGGACGACGGTCGCTTCGCTCGGCTGATATCGGGTCGCGGTGTAAGAGCGAACTGGCGCGGTATTTCCATAACTATGAACAAATCATCAGTCTGGAAGACCCCAAATCAGGTACGTGACTACTATATCAACCATGTCTAATGCACAACTGACGCCGTGCAGAGTTCCTGGCAGCCAAAACCACCCTTATGCTGATTGACGACCTATCCCAACCCCTTCCAATCCCAAAATCAGTTCCAACACCCTTCGGCAACCCCATCCTAGACCTGCACGGCTGCACAAAGCTCTCCCTCCCCTTCCTCCCAGACCAAGACCCAAGCACAACAGCCACAGACCCCCTAAATGAAGCGACGTATTTCCGCGCGCACCGTAAATTCGAACGTCAAGAAAAGCAACTCCGCAACATCGAGCGCAACCGCGCTCAACACGAACAACAAGTCCTAGAAAGTCTCATAGACGAGCTACGCGGCCAAGACTGGCTGCGCGTAATGGGCCTGCCCAGCGTCCACGAAACAGAAAAGAACACCTACGAGCCAAAGCGTGAAATTCTAGTCCAAGAACTCGTCACCCTAATCAGCAAATTACAAGCATGGAAGGAAGAAGAACGACGACAGGAAAGAAGAAAAAGAAAAAGAAAAACCAGACGACGCAGATCCTCGCTCGAGAAAACGTTCCCATCTCGATGATAATAGTTCACCTGCTCCAGGTGCTTTGCAGAGTGCGCCTAATCCAAGATGTTGGTGCATGGGCGGCGAGACAATTACATCAGGATACTAGGTCAACTGGTGCAGCGAAATCGAAGAAGCGCAACTCGACTACGAAATCGACTCCGATTCAGATCGAAAAGGAATCAGAACCGGGTCCTAAGCGCAAGAAATTAAACACTCCAGCTCCAACCCCTGCTTCGGCGCCAGCTCCAGTCCCATCATCAAAAAAACCATGAACAAGCACTCCTCTCCCTCATCTGGGCTCCCAAAAATTTTTGAAGCCGAATCGCTTCACTTACCAAGGGAGGAACATGATCTCCTGAGATTTGTCTTTTTCGCTAAGGGTTTCCAATACACTGGACTGCCGTTCTCCTTCTTTTTCCTGGTCTGGCGAGATCTTCGGGGCATCCACTTTGTTTGCAGGAGAACTCAAGATCTAGATAATACCATTTTCATCGATCCTCGGTGTCTCTTATGGACTATGCACACGCAGGTGGCTATGGACTGAGCTTTACAATCACCACCACGGTCTGTTGAAGCAGTCAAATTCTGACTGGAGCTGTTTTAGTTTTCAGCAGGCTATTGACATTCAACTTAATTAAAGGATAGTGATCAACAAGTCGGTCGGTAAAATTATCTAGTCTCACAACGTTGAGGGTCAAGCATGAACGCTCATTGGGATATATATTTTACTCGGACACCTCGTCGCCCTTCGTTGAAAGTTTTAGAAATTCGAAAAATGGTACATTCTAGAACTTTCAGTAATAAAAAAGAATACTTTGATGTTTCTATGTTCTTGATCACAAGTCCGAAAGTTGCGCAGTCGAGACGGACAGATCCACAGCTCAACACAACCAACACCACACTAAAGCGAGGCTAGAAAAAGAAAATCCGTAACTTCTCGGAATCAAATTCTAGACGTTTTTCGGCGATTCAACGTTGAGTCGCTCACAGATGAGGTATCGGAACAAGAAATATGAGCCTGCCATTGCGGATGGACCACAAAGCCTCAATTTAAGACGGCTATGAAGGATTCAACACAGCCAACGATTCTTGACCGACCCAGCATCCTTTTCTCAACACCACTCTTGTCTCTCTCGCTGAGCAGCTAAAGCATTAGAAATGTCGCTGCACACATTTGCGGTAAAAAAAAAGATGTGGGTTTCAACAGGCCTCGATTAAGGGAGTTGTCCCTCAACGCGTTCTACCAAGCAGCGCACTTGTGTGCGAAAGGACGAGCCGAGAAGCCTATAAATACGTTTTTTACCCCCGGCAATTCGCTCTTCATTTTGTTCACTTGACTCTGCAAAATCGAACAGGCTTGTGCCTGAGCCCACTTAATGAGTTCTTCCCCATTTGATCCAGTACTGAAGTTCCCACTGTACTGACATTTATAGAATACATCGTGGGTTTACAAGCCAGACAGTGCCAGCGGGAAATACATACAGGTGCTGTATGACTCCCAACAGATGCACTGCCATTCACAACAGCCGATTAAAGATGTCTATGCAAAGATGCCTCCGCCACAGAAGCCGACTGAGCTGATCTACTGTACAGCCTGTGTGTATTCCCAAGAGAAAGTGCGAATATCCACGTCGCAGGTATGTGAATCTTAGCTTGACTTGTCTGAATTCTACTGATCCTGAAGACGATACGATTCCAATAGAACCGACATTCGACCACAATGCACGAGCGCAAGGACCGCAACTCTTTGCCGTTCTTCGTCCCTAGGCTTGGCCACCAGAAAATGTGAGTCATGAATTCTGTCGCCGATCTATAAGCTAATAAACGATAGTAAACATTGACATCGCACCAGAAGTCCCTGAGGATACAGCACCCCCGTTAGTGCTCTGCACAAAGCCACTGCCTACATACTATTCTTGGCCCCGTCGCTTCAGACCACACATCATACCCTAGCTGAAGTGAATCAAAGCAGCGGCCAAATAAAGGTGCGAATATCCGATTGCGAGCTTGAGATGTCCATTCTTCCTGGAATTGTGTGATTTATCGCACCCTCTGCTGCGCTATATCAAATATTTGTGCAATCTTGTGCTCCAAAACACGAGCACCATTGCTGATTTTATGCCATCGTACATAGGAGCAGCCATCGCCACTGTGAAACATACCTGTTGGGAGTTCTATCGCCGCATCAGAGATAAGAACAAGGCGTCACTATCGCGTCTTCCGCCTCAACCTCACCGCCCTCACACAGAGTGTATGAACCCCGCGCCGTCCTCATCGCGAGGTCTCTTCTCATTACAACTGTGCAATCACCCTCTAAAGGTGGTTCGTCACACGCCTTTCTGCACCCAGGGCGGCTTATTCGAAGCGACAGCCGGAGAGTGCGACGAACTGGATACAACATCATGTCAACATGGCATGAATGGTGACTCCATTGATGAAGACATTGTAAGTCATCTCGTCGGTAAGATATGACCACGAAGCTAATTGATCGTTTCGTGTCAAGCGAACGTTGTGCGAACTTCATGAACAGGTAAATCATAAAATCTCGTCCAAGTGGTAAGCCTTACTGACTCGGATCGTACACCAGCGCCCCTCACAGTCCCGTCACTCGAGTCGAATGCGAAGCGAGCAATCTTGTCTACTCGAGCTCCTCTATACCGATGCGATCGCAAGCTATCTGTCCCTTCCTCATGACCACTGGTGGCATGGACGATGAATGACTGGAAGGTTCACATCGTCTCGGCCCTTCTCTCAGTCGACACTATGCATCAGTAATGTGCTAATGTGTCTACCGATACAAATTCCAGGGCATAATGGGCTAAACCACCGTCTGTCTCGGTATTCGAACACCGCGAAAGAATAGGTTCCTTGTGGATCGAATTCCTGGCGTCCAATGGGTGATATTCATTGTCCTCGGTTGGAATCTCGCGTCTTAATCCTGGAACTCCAAAAGACCGAGGAATGCTGGTGGTTTTGTCCACAGCCCGGCCTTTTGGAAGCAACGGCCGGAGAGCGCGGTGAACCAGAACACAACATGGCATGAATGGTGCTGCATTACCTTGTCGAAGAGGATTGTAAGTGATCTATTTGGCAAGTTCATATGACCACGAATATCGCTGATCGTCTCGTCTCAAGCGTACATAGCGTGCCCTCTGCGAACTCTATGAAAGGTAAGTCATAACAACTCGTCAAGTGGTAAGCCTGGCTGACCCGCATCGAACAACAGGACGTCCTCATTTTCTCTGCTCGAGTTCCCCTATACCGATGCGATCGCATGCTGTCTATCATTTCCACACAGCTACTGGTGGCATCGATGATGAGCCAATATAAAGTCCAGATCGTCTCGGCCCTTCTCTCAGTCGACTCTGTGCATCAGTCATGTGCTGATGTGTCTACCCGATGCGAAGCCCAAACCGTAATGGGCTTATACCACCGTGTCTCGGCATTCGAACACCGCGAAAGAATAGCCTCCTTGTGGATCAAATTCCTGACGTCCAATGAGCGATCCTCATTATCCTCGATTCGCATCTCACGTCTTTTGATGCCTGGCAGCTCGACAGGCACCGGGATGAGCTCATGTTTCGGTCTGGCTCATGGCGGACGAGTCCTACTTTCACCGACGAGCAGGCTGTGGGTCTAAGTCTGCGTGCAAGGAGAGGGTGAGGCGGGACCCCATTATTTCGAGCCTACAGATGAACATTGGCCATATCAGGTACGGACCGATAAAAGGAGATGGTAGGGTGTCGAGCCATAGCCGAGTCAACTAGAGAGCCACGAGCTACGAATCACCGACCCATACTGTCCTACCCGATCCTACTCCGCGTTGCTGAGCCGGTCGATGTATTCCAGCGGGTGGAGCTACCAAGCGGAAACGAACAAGTGAAAGTGAATCAACCGGACATGCACGACGCTGCATCAAGAGCACCGTCAGAACTGCTGTGGTGTCTTTGGATATACGCTGGCTGGATCTGATGCCTAAGCACCTTTTTTTCTATCAAGCCGAGTTACGTGTGCAAAGACCATTTGCCCTGGATGTCACTGCATCTCCAGGTTAGTCAACCCGAGCGCGTGTATCTCTCACTGAAATCGTCTTCTGACATATCGCGTGCAAGCGGTTTTCTCTGGGAATGGCCGAGCTCTCTACGTCCCCTACGTCGCCTGTCCTTGGTCCTTGGGCATCAAATATATATTGTCAACCCTCACCGAGCCCTGGACGACATTTGGCATATCACTGTTCAAGCAGATCCTTTGTAAAGTGAGTTGGATGTCTGCACAACTTTACTCAGAGCCATCCTCTGTGCGACCTCTCTGACTATCTATGACAGCCTATGCTAATTTTTCTACACCTAATCAGCATTCATATGATTGCTTTCGGCGGGGTTGGTTACGCGCATGTCTGCTGCGGCTCCAATCCAAGTCCGTCGTAAATGCTGGCGGAATCATCTTTACCAGATCTGGTCAAAATGGCGCTTGCTAGACCCGATCGGGCTGCAACCATGTTCTCTACACAGTAGAGTATGTTCGATTGCGTGAACTCGGGTACCACGCCCAAAAAGCAGTGGTCGCCAATTTGAGTCCGGTGTGGTTGCTACATAGGAGATGGGCTCGCAATATGAATCGCAATTGCTGTAACTGACCAAGGTGCGACGGCTCCGATGTAGAAGCAGCCAACCGGAAATTTTCGGGCCAAGCCCCTCAATTTCTTCATTCTCTTTATTGGGAGTTCACTTTGACTCGCGACCGTTGTGGATGTAGGCATTCTACAGCAGAGTGAGTGACTTGCAAGCCGCCTGAAGCAGCAAATCCGACTACGCCAGGAACAGTCTATCGCATCACCGTGATTATCTGAGCAACAAAATGTATTTCGAGCGCTCTTTCAATGCTTCATCTAGACCTGGTAGGTCTGATCGTGGGTTTTTGCCTCATTATAGCTTCACCGAGGGATATTGTTGTTTGCATTGGACCAGCTCAATCGAATTGGAGGCTGTGTGCCAAAAATACCGAGTAAACACCAG